TATTCTGACGTTTTATACTCTGAAGAGGTTCAGACGAACAGGCTTTTAGTATGTCAACAATGTTTGCTTTTTTCAAAGCCATTTTTCAAGCAAGTACGCTATACTTGAATTAATTCTATATCTATTGAGGTGACTAATAATTTTGTGAAACCCATGACTTATGACTAACCATATTAGTTTTTTGACTTATGGCTAAAGCAAACTATTCCTAGTGCCTGATATCCAATAATTTAGGGCTCGCACTTTGGAAAGATAAATTGAGCACTACCCTGTACTCTTTCCAATCAAAATGGTTAAAACTGGATAAAATTATCGGGTATGGGAACGGGTACGGGTTGGCTATGGGGTATGGGAACGTTCACATATTACGTAATCAAAGATAGGTTGAGCCACAAACTATCCCTTAATAGTGAAAACTGTTCTAGGTACGATAGAGGACAATACTTTCTGAACGTCCTAATGGTGGCAAGCTATTTTATTTTGCAATTCAACTAAAAACTCATAGGCATCATGCTTTTTGTACGTTACAACCAGAAATTTTGTGCCCAAAAGAAATTAAGACTTATTGGAGCCAAAAATCTTGACAACTTTTTGAAAAACTTTATACGGGATTCGTTGAGAATTCATGTCCTCATGTACGAACCTTCTTTAAAAAGTTAAACCAGCCGTTTTAAAAAAACTGGTTTCAAATTTGCAACTATCTATTAAAGTATTCCAATCTTCCTTCAAACTTTTGTTCCGGAATAGAGACTGTGCCTTTTCTTAAGAAATTCCTTATTCTTTTTACCATGTCTACGCACAGTCTCTCATACAGAAGGAGTCTTCAATCTGCAAAATCATCAATTTGCGCAAAACAGACGGCAGCATGTACTCTAAAATCCATTTGTTCAAAATATGTTATCAAATATTTTTCGGACAAGTCTATAGTTTTAAGCATATGCTCAATACCTGATAATAATTCCGCACGCTGATGCACTGGCATCATATCTTTTGTAAATGATTTGTAACTCTAGCGTGGAGGCAGGGGCAACAAATTCATTAGCTTAAAAATTTATGAGAATTAGGTCATGTATTTCGTCAAATTTCTAAGGATTTCGAGATCGATTTTAATCGAAAAGAATCTCGTCTCCTAGGCCAGAGAAGTTGCTTTCTTTGTAAAATCTTGGAAGATAGTGTCTCGCTAGCTGACAAATCATCATTTGGTATCTAAAATTGAGGGCAATACATCATTTGGTACCTACAAATTTTGTCAGCCGTGTAGACGTTTCAAATAAAGTCAATTTGACTGAGAATCTTCTTCACGCCAATGCCAATTGGGAATAAAAAACTTTGATTTTCAACATGGGGCATGTTCCGACATTCTAAATAGGGTGATTTCAAAAAATTTTCCGAGGGCCATCCCCCGATCCCCCGTTTCCTTTCCTGTGACAATGCTTGCAACAAACTGATTCTCAGCTAAAGCAAAGTTTTTCCGAGCCCTAAAGTTACAAGCCCTAAAGTTTTGTGACTTTAGCACCTATTGGCGCCCTTTTGGCTGCTTTTACCGGTTGGTCAAACGGTTGCCAGTCCGCCACTGTGCCCAACGGTCAGCCAGTTATGAGACCAGTTGTCTTTTAAACTGGCCTTATCAATAATAGAGCGTGCTTTGTCCTGCAGATGTTGGAGTGTATTCAATTTTGATTTAGGAAGACTTCCCCAAATACCATTAGCGTATATACAATATAAATTAGCGCATTCACAATACAAAGGCAGTTTAACGAGCCGAAAAAGATAAACTCAAATCATATGATGCCCCTAAATTCTATTTTTAGACTGGGGCACTCTGGTCCAGACCCCTGGCCATAAACGGAGAACGCCAGGTCATAGAAACTTGGAATTCTCAATATTAAGACAGTTTGACATGCAGAAAAAGATGTGATATAGACCCAAATCATACCTTGCCCCCAAGTTTTATTTTTAGACTGGGGTACTCCGGTTGAGACTGGTCAATTCTACCATTGGCAATAAACGGAGAGCGGAAATTCTCAATAAAAAGGCAGTTTGATACGCTGACAAAGATGTGATATAGTTCTTATTCATATCTTGCACTCTAAAAATAGAAAAAGGGGACAATTTTCAGTCGGGGTCCATATCCTATCTTTTTAAGCATATCAAACTGTTCCTTATTGCAAAGTTTCATGCTATTCTACCAAAGTGAGACTGAGATAAATCCGTCAATAAAGGTCTAGGGCAAAGTACCCCAGTCTATAAATAGAAAAGGGGGCAAATTTCAGTTAGGGTCTATATCCTTTCGTTTTTAGCGTATCAGATTGTCAATTGTTACAAAGTTTAATGCTATTGTACTTACTTACAGCAGAGATATCGTAATATCGCCGCTAGAGTCTTGGGGCAAAGTGCCTCTGCTAAAATTAGCTGAAGGGGGTAATTTTCAGTTGGGATCCATATCCTATATTTTTCAGCGTATTAAACTGCCCATTGTTCCAAAGTTTCATGCTAGTATCACAATTTGCACAATTCGACCTAATAAGTGATTTAAGCCTGATTTACAAGAGACGAATTTTTTCGTGCGAAGCGAAATTTTCGCCGCGAATGCGCGAAAAATATGCGCAGAAGTAGAGATTAGAAAATTCGCAGCGAATTCGCAGCGAAAAAGTAAAAGCCGTTCCTACTTTTTCGCTGCGAAATTTTTCGCCTTGTAAAATAAACCAATCAGAACAGCATTGGAAGACACCTGACTTCAGTTTTGGTTTCAGATGGCCTACGTCTTTCCGCATTCTTTTTCTCAAACACTCTCGCCTTTAAAACGTCATTAAAATAGGTTGGTAATTATTCATTTCCTGTTCCTTGTACACAATCCATGTATGTGGATTGATATCAGATTATTATTCAAACATTTAAAGTTCAAATTGACGGAAACTGGCTTGAAAGTTTCATCTAGCTTAGATGGTGACCTTTGAAAGTATTTGAAGAAGTTATCCTGGTCTTATAAATGTAAACGTAAATCTCTCTTACCGAAAGATGGAATTCCCCCTTCTGAAGACGTCCTGAATAAATTTTTCTAATCCAGTATCGCTTTTTGCTGTTTTGCTCGCTTTTTGATAAATTGAAAATTTAAAGCTTTCTGATAAGAGCACTGTTCGGACAGTCGCTATATTCTTTTGTAATACTCGCAGCGAATTCGCATAAAATTTCTGCCAGTGTAAATTGAATTTTCGTGGCAAAAAATTCGCTTCGCGCGAAAAGTTTGTCTCGTGTAAATTAGGCTCGATTTAACAGGCCTGACTAAACGGTTTCGCCTCGACTCATCACTGTGACGTCACAGCGGCAATGCAACTGCAAAATATGCATACTTTGACACTCAATAAAAAAAGAGCCATATAACTTATCGGAATTCTGCTTTCTGTATAAGAAGAAGGGCGAAGGATTCTATAGGTTTCTTTTAAAATATTGGAATGGCAAATTTCGCTGCATATGCACTTTAAACTGACAAACAAAGGGTAAAAAAGCTCTTTTGCACTTCGGGGAATATCACTTTAGATCCTACTCAAAAACTGAGTAGGAAAATCCTTTTTAGCGCGCTGTAGATCCATCTTGAATTCTAAAATATTCCCACTGAACATTCTTCCTACATAATTATGCGAACAATTCAATTCAATACCCGTATGCGATTTTGCTCTCGGTTACACAGAACCTCTACTTTCAAGTTAGGGGTCTGGAACACAGGCTACCTTTTTGGAGAGTGGGCCTGATCTCCCAACCTTTTCTTTTCGCAGGCCAAAGGTAAAAAGAAAAGCGAATACGAAAGTGATAATAAGAACAATGAAAATCTTTCTTCAATTTCAATAACACTACAATTATAAATATATCTATTAAATAGAAAGTTTGCAACGATAGATAAAACTGTAACAATCGTAAGTGCAAAAGTGAAAACTAAGAAACCAACCAAAATTGAAAAATAAAAAGGGTGTGATTCGGGGTTTGGATAAATCACTCTAGCAAGGAAATACTTAGCAAGGAATTAGCCACCAATCAACGTTTAGCATCGGTCTTTTTGCTCAGTCCATTCATTTTAAAACACGTAAGCGCCAATTTATAGGCCCCCAGTGCACAAGCAACTGAGATATGACAAAATAGGGATCGTTATCCCTGCTCAACTGCCATGGGCGCGCCAAGTAAGATTCGTTGTTGCTGCATTTGTTAACTTTCGCCCAGTCCCTCAAAGATTCAACAGTATTCAGTGTAACAGTATTCCAAAGTTTTAAGCCAAGTCCGTTTTCCTTGGAGCAAAATCCACGACAAGCATTTCAGAACCCAGTTTTTTATGGATTGGATTGCTTCAGCATTTTAGCTGTTATTTTATAGGGATTGTCTCAAGTACGTGAAGGATGTTTCTTTACAGACCCCAAAACGTGGGGAAATTGTTGAACATCCTTTAAAGATATACAGGAGGGTCATCTGCGAGCAAAAAAGACGACGCCCTTGAGATTAGCTTAAAATCTTTTCAGAATATCCCTCCCCACCGTTACGCTGCTGATAAGAAGATAAATTCTGATAAGAAAAATAAAGTAAAATCTTGGCGTTACCTTGTTACTACTGAGTACCAACGATTGATTTTTACCGAATGAAGTAAAATTTACCGAACGACACAGAAATATTGGGAGGTGTCGCACCCCCTACACTCCCCCCGCTAAATCCGTCCCTGCATTAGCTCCTCAGTGTCCTAAAAAGCTACCTTCGGATGCTAGGTAGAAACTAATACAAGTACAAATACGAGTACAAATCATCTCGAGGGCCACGAAAATTCCCTTCCCGGGCTTTATTGAAATTTATTGCACAGATTCTCTGGCCCTATCTGCATGAATTCTAGTTTAATTTTCCTTTTAACAGTTATGCGTTAAGCCTTCAATAGATAGATACAAAAGACGAAATAAAACTTGTGTCGTTAGTTTGCTGGCAAGACATTTATCGTAGCACTAGCAGGAATCCTGGAAAATTAGGGAGTATCAAAATCGAGAAAAACTTATGCACAGACCGCCTTCATTTGGAAGATTTCATCAATCAAATTCATTAGAAAGGGCGGTAAGAATTGAAAACTTAGCAGAACTGAAGACGACTGAACAAAGATCGAACAAAAAGAAAACAAAGAAACAAATCTCAAAGTAAAGAACATATCGATAGGAGATTATCTCATGGTAAGGCGTTCTTTGTTTTGTTGACCAGAAGCCTTCCACTGTTCTGAAAGAAAACCCCATTGTTAGGTTCATTTTTCAAAATATTTTAGGATGGAAACCCATATATTACCTGTGGTTTGCACACAACGGAGTCGACATCTCGCTACATAAAGCTTCAATAAGAAGAACCAAGACTGTTTGATATTCAAGCATTCGGAAACAAAATCTGGTATATTCATTAGGACGGCATAATCAGGCTGAGAGACATCAAAACGTTTGCGAATCATCCTGAAGGTAAGAACGCACTGTTTCAATAAATAGGTTACGGACGCCTGTTGGTAGTTTAACATAACAAAACTACATTTTGCTGGTGATTAAACACTTATGTGCTCCCGGCAAAAATTTGAAGGGAATAAGTTTCATGTTTTACATAAACGAGCGAATGCAGGTGCTTGGTCGAAAATGACCTGTCTTGAGTCATGCTTAGGCCTAAATCCTATCATTCTTGACTGAGCATTTTGTTCATGAGAAAGTTATTTTTCAGTTGAACTTGGTAACGAAGCCACCCATGTGAGTTTAAAGCAAAGGATCTAAAGTGTCTTAATTTTGCAGTTTGAATTCGTAGATTTTCATTAACACATGATTTATTTTGAGTCTGAAATGTCTTGTGGTTTTTTGTTTTGCGTACAAAGTGAAAATTCCAAGGTCATTTATTCTTTGTAGGCTGGTTGGTATATTTTGGTAAACCAGAAAATTATTGAATAACTAAACGGGATAAAACACTTGCCACGAATGAAAAATTGTCCTCAGAGCAGTGTAAATTTTTACGGAGTGGTAAGAAATTGTCATCAAAATGGGTTGAATGCTGATATTTAACAGGTGTTTCCGTTAATTCGTGTTGGAGACAGAGTTTGAAAATTACCTCAGTTTAAATAACATCCTAAGGATGTTTTTTGCAATCCGAAAGTAAACATTCAAACGAGCTCATTCAAATCCAGCACTTTACAACTTCTCATTGTCTTTAACGGTTAGCGCTTCCTGTTCAATTTCAAGGCATAAGGTCGCAATACTGAAAGCAGACAAACATTGCTGCAAGGAAGGGCGCATTTACATCAAATGGCTCGTTTGAAGAACGCTTTAATCATAATAAACTTGAAAAGGTTAGCTGCTTTAAGGCGATCCCTGCTGCCTTGATTGGTTTGCGAACAAGATTACTCATTAAAGCAATTAACCAAATACTCCAATTACGCACGAAGTCAATTCCAGAAAGAGGGGGTTTTCCGAACGAGGCTGGCAGCCTCCAGCACCCTTCTCCTCGCTTGACCAACGTCATATTTCATTCTCAAACATAATTAATTGTATATTTTGGAGTTTTTCAAACTGCAATCATCATCATCGTGATCACCATTTACTAAAGGCAAGATTTTTCTTCTTTTCAAGGGGTTACCAACTTTCCTTTCATGACTTGGTGCCTCTTCTCCAACAAATCCAAAGTTACAGTTTTACAGCAGCAGTGAATAATCTTTCGTTTTAATGCATCTTAACTTTACTAAATCAAGAACCTGTGTTGAGAACACGGGACTTCTTTCTATTTTCCTTTACAGCATATACTCATGATGTTGTTAACGAATTTTTAAGGCCGCCATTGTGGGGAGGGGACAGCCGCCTCCCGGTTCTCAGGAAGTTGGTTTCTGAGAAAAGGCAAATCTGCAATAAAAATAGTACCCCAGGTTGGGGGAAGGGGGTGGAATATCAAATGAAAGTTAAACATTTTAAACGACTATAAAAGTATTCGGAAATTTATTTTAAGCTAATCTTAAGGGTGTGGTCGCAAAAATTTTTTTAATCCCATCAGTTTTTACACATAGGCTTCCTCGCCTGACACAATTCAGAATGTAAACGGAAGTACATTGGTAGCCTTAAAATTTCAAGCGTGTAAACAGAAAGCCAAGTGGAGAAGCGGAGGAGCTGAGGAGCTTCTAGCGCTTCTCCACTTCTATCTGGGGGTGTGGTCAGTCAAATCTTCCCCCGACTCCACTTTGCCTCTCCAATCTTCCACCCCTGGCTACGTCACTGCTTGACCACCTCTACTCTCCAAAAATCACTGCTCCCCTCCCCCTAGATCACATTCACTCGTGACAGAGTAAATCCAACGCAAAAGCAACTTCAGTCGTCTGTTACGACGTATTTATAGCAGATGAAATACAACAAGTAAAGCGTCAAACACTTGCGCGAATGACTCCCCCCCCCCTTTGGGGCTAATGATGCGACCTCTGTGTACTGACGGTTTGGCCACATAACATAAAAGAACAAATAGTATAGTATTCTAAGATTTAAAAATTTTATGTTCTTGACCTTGTTGCTTCACAGACATTTACGGCCATTCATTAATCCCATTTATTAATGTATGTAACCGAGGCAGTATTTAAGCATATTATAAGTATACTGGATTTATCACCGCATCCCATTCCAAGCATCGTCAGCTTCAAATCAGGCCGAAAGAATAATTCCGGGTCTCATCCTTTTTCTTTTATCCTAAATCCTAATCTGACCATACTTTATTTCATGAGATTTTATAGAAAAGATTATTTATTGTGCTTTATTTCGCAAAACTCATTACATTTTCATACATCAAGAGTAAAGATTGCGTTCTTCAATCTAAAAATTTTATGAATTTCAGTAGTTTTTACTGCTTCGTAGAAAAACGTATTTGCACGGTTTTTCGACCTACTTTTTAAAGCGTAGAATTCAAGTTTACAGTATACGAAGACCCACTTTTGTTTCATATTTTTTGTTTTTCTGCTTTTTTGAAAAACACCTTTGGGACTATTTACATCCCCTGCGATGGCGCGCTATAAAGGCAAAAGACTGTTTGAAGTTTCCTGACATCTTCAATCACGAGTTGAATCATCCCTGCTCATTGTTCATCCATAGTTCAAAATTATTTTGCATGAAAAAGGTTTTTCTAACTTTAATTAATCTATTTTGCTTTCTAAGCTTTGAGTGTATCCTGGGTTGTTTCTAAATGGGTCTCCTCAGAATTCTTAAAGGAGCATTTTGACAGTTGCTTACGATTTGGTGCCATCAGCGGCATTACCGCGCCGCTCATCGTCTCAGGTGCAAATTGTATCGTGTAAGTTTTTAAGCAGAGGCTCGAGTGCAGAGCCTTGTGGAACGTCGAAAAATATTTCAAACTTAATTTATAGGTAGGTTTACCCTTTGAACTGTAGAGCTGTTTACGCCTTTGAGTATAGAACAAGATGGTTCTAAGATGCATTAGAAGACGGTTGGTAAGTGTGAAAGACATAGTTGCGACTTAGAACTGTCTTGTTCTTCACACAAAAGCCTACACAGCTTACGTACAGCTCTGTCTACTTGACATACGACGCTATGAGAGACTGGCGAAACAGTAATTTACGTCGTAGGCAGGTTCAAGCAGCTCCTGGATTGGATTTTGTTTGCAGATAAAAACGTCAAATCTTCAAAAAATTGTTTGTGATTGAAATTAAATTGTTGTTCGAAATTAATATGTGCTTGATAGTAGGTTAAGGAGCACAATGACAATACAATACGAATATTGTTAAAAAGGTATTTCGGCGGTAAAAAAATTTTAAAATGGCTTTGTAAAAAGCAAGCATTTCATTTTTTTCTGATTGACCTATTTGGATCCACAACTGGGTATATTTTATCCATTTTCGTCTTTCAGAACCTTATTGTGACGTTTTATACTCTGTTGAGTGTCAGACGAAAAAGCTTTTAATATGTTGTAAAATTTTCCTTTTTTCAATACCATTTCATACTTTGTTCAAGAATGTAGGGTACATGGCCCCTTCACTGCCCCTTTGTGCTGGCCGTGTTAACGACTGATTAACTCGGTTCTATAATTACGTTTGACTTCATTTCTCAAAGCCATTTCTGCTGCTTACGTCACTAACCCATGAAACCAGTGAATGAAACAGTGCGATTATAATCCCTTTTTGCCAAAGTAGCCACGACTGCTTACAATCAAATTCAAAGGCTTTCCTCAAACAGTATGGATACTGATGTGTCTTTGATCTTTAATTATTCAACAGTGTTGCAGATTTTTAAGAATTAATCCTTGAAATTCTTAGGCAGCAGGTGTTGTCTGGCCTTTCCCTGAAAGAGTCTTGACTGCAGCGCTTATCCAAACCAATTTGTTATATTGCAAGAATAACGGCTGAAGCAATAACACTCCAATCGATACGCCTAGGCCGGCTCGGTAGAGTGTCAACCGCAAAACAATGCCCGGTAAGATGTAATTTGAGTTGTTTCACAAGCAGGGAATCTGGTGACGATCTTTCTTTTAACGATTTCATGAAAAGATATTGTTTTGTTATCTCTAATTGCAATTACTGGCTACATCTGTTGAAAGGAAATATTCAATTCTGTAGACGTGAAACTATCACAGAACAGTTTTATCTTTCAAAGGTGCACTGTAAAGACCTCTGCTCACTCTTGCTGGCCGTTTATGTAAATGTGAAAGGAAAATATGATAAAATGTTTTTACAGACGCTCATGCCAGTCGGGGCTCGGTTCTTTTCTAAACTGGTGTGTCTTAGCCGATTTTATGAGTTTTCATATGCAAAGCTTATATGAGATTATCACGCAAGAAAAGCTTATACGGGTAAAGTCATACTATTGCTAACCAATGTTGTTGCTTACGATATTGAAAGGCTGACTCCTCGTTATTCATGTTGAACAGCTGAAGTTACAAAGACTTAGGCTGCATTTATCATTATATCTTCAGCATCGCCATCTAGGATAATCAGTAATTTACTGGTTGCACACGAGGCCAGGCCTCTCTTTTAAGACCTTTGGCCTTGCTATGTTAGCAGAAAAAGCCAAGAGAGAGATGGCTACAAGACCTATATAAAGCTCCTTAAACGCAAGGCTAATGTATTTTCATAGAAGCATGCCTTGCTATTGACAATGTGGAATTATCGGAAATACCTAACAGCAATTTAACGTCAATATAACTTTCTATTGCAGAAGACAGACATAACTCGTTGCAAATGTAAGCAAAGCATGACGAAAAACGTCACATATCATGATCCTTTGCAATTACCGTGAATCCTCGCTCAAACGCCCCAAAGTAATTAATGTTTAATATCAAAAGCAATTAAAGCTTAAAATCAAAGTTAGGAACTAAAAACATAGTTATAGATCCTATTCTTGTAAGTTTTATCAACGTTTTTAATGTAATAAATTTTCTCTGAATATCATTTAAGTGTTTATCCTGTATAGATATTCGTTTTATTATTATTATTATTATTAATATCTTTTTAATTCTTATTATCTTATTATTATTATCATGTGATGCTTCCTTATCCCATTTATACTCAAAGTGTTTTCAGAATCTTTTTCCAACGGGATTTCATAAAGTTCGATTTTTTCGCGATATCACTGCTTATATGATCAATTTAATGTTAGTTGTTACAATAATGGAAAAAAATTAATCCAGACCAACATGAAGCCGCTTCAAGGACTGCCTTATGCGGACTGCCTTATGCGGACTGCCTTATGCGGACTGCCTTATGCGGACTGCCTTATGCGGACTGCCTTATGCTGACTGCCTTATGCTGACTGCCTTATGCGGACTGCCTTATGCGGACTGCCTTATGCGGACTGCCTTATGCGGTTAATTTACTGCCAAAGAACACCTGAATTTATTTTCATGAAACAGAGTTTTAATTAGACTTTCAATTTTTTTAACTTTCGGCTGTTTTAATTTCATCTGGAAGTGAGTTCCAGATTTTTGATCCTTCAAATTTGAGTGGTCATATTCATAATTGGTAGCTCTAACCTTTGGTATCAAAACAGAATTTTTTCTTCAAAATTTGCGACTTGTTAGTTTTAGCGAAATTTAGTCCTTCACGAAAATAGGGTTTAGATTGTTGAGAGTTTTTTATACTTCAGATGCTAAAACTCTAATTGATTGTGTATGGATCGCAGTTTCCTTCGAGGAGGCAATTAGATCCTTATAGGCGAGTGAATACCCAGAATGCACTGGTCGTAACGCTGTCCTTTTTATTTCTTCTAGTTCATTCTATCCTCCTTTGCTACACAACATCCACATTAATGGGCAATATCTAAAATCACATTATATAAAATAATTTGTAATTATCTTTTTTTACTTTTTCCCCGATAAGCTTTGCTAGTCGCTTTAGTGAATATAACTGCTTTGCTGTTTTTTAAAAGATTTTATCGATTTGAGTTTCAAACTTGGGATATTCGTTCTTCTCAACACAAAATTACATGGCTATCTACTAGTATCATAAACTCATCCTAAATTTCAAATTTAACACCCCCTCGATTTTACCCCCCCCTACTGTTACAGAACCCCCTCAGTTAAGCGAAACAGTTCAAATTAATACAATTTAGCAGTACATTTCATGCGTCACTTCTAAGAACTTTTGCCATGTCTATTAAAAAATAATTAATTTTGAGAAGAAAGTGCTTTGTGTATCGAAAATTTTAGGTGTTAAAAAGGCGTAATTCTTCTTACAAGATATTGCTAGGGTTGGCTCTTGCGCCTGGTCCCCTTCCATAGCGGACCATGAAATGCCTTGAGCATCATAACAAAGGAATGTTCATTTGCAGTCAAATTTGCAATCGAAAACATTTGCTGACCCAAGCAGTCTCTTGTAGGTGACAACGCCTCTTGCAAAATGATTTTTAATTAATGTTATCATATTGCCCTCACTGAACGCAATGAGCCGGCGATTGTGAGACCCAATCAAGAGCAGCTCCTTGTAAACATGTTATTGACTGTCTTAATAGACACTTTCATTAATTCAACAGATAATGAATAGGAACAGGTAGTTTTTACGTCTATGAATAAGGATCTTTGATGATTACATTTTCCTGTCCTGTCTCTCGCAACGCACTTCGCCACAAACCAGCGTGCAACTGCGTTTGCCTTCAATCTTATTCATAAATCATAACTTCAGTTTTTGCTCTAACTACAGATCACTGCATGACGTGATGCCAAGGTGAACTACTACATGAAAAAGCGACTAATTAAATTCCAGCTGCAAAAAGGTAAGAACGATTTTCTGCATTTGGAGTTTTTCGAAGCCATTTGAGAGCATCTGCGCACAGTGATCATTATTCTCTTCTTAATAACCTCTGGCGGGTGTTTGCATTTTAATCGCTGTAATTTATTTCTTCCTTTGTTAAGACGGGCAAGAATTGTTAGTGAAGCAAGGCTTAAAATGGATGTTATCCCATTTCTAGCACAGAATATCATATCATCGTATCAAAGCTTGACGCATTTTCAAAAGCAAAATCTCCCAAGCAAATGTCTTGATAGGCAGCACTTACAATTTTCCATTAAAGAAAAGTGTCTAACAACGGATGAAGGGGTCTTTACATACTTCCAGCATGCAAAGAGTTCTTATAAGTAGAAGTCTCCTCCAGAAAAGAATCGGAGGTAAATTAGGCAAAGGAAACTGCTTCTTTTAACGTAACTCTACTTTCATAATTGATGTTGTTGTCATATAATGATGGGCAAATAGTCTTCAAAAATGTTGTAGAGCGGGTCAATTCCGGAAATTCTCTATAACGTTCATATTTTGCTTGCTAAGCACCATATGTGCATCCTAAATGAAGTAATAGGGACGTCCATCGATATTCTCATTCTCGATTTGTTCATCGCCAGCATGGGTTTCTTGAGCGAAGTGAAGCATAAAGAAGGACTTTTGTAAAATTAAACTGAATTGAATTATCCTTAGGAACTTAGAGCAAGCAAACTAGGCCCTTTGAGAAAGAAGTCGGTTTGGTTCGGTTTGCTCATTTTAAGGCAAGCAGAGGTTTAACTAAGAATATCAAAATGAACTGCACTTCTACCGAATGCGTGAATGTAACATCGCCTAATTTTCGATAAACATACGCTGAGGGCCAAGCAGAACATAGAAATGGCCTTAGGCCTGAATACAAAATAAAAGAGCTTTGTGACTTCAGCTTTCCTGTCAAGGGATGCTCTTCATCAACACCTGCATCTAAATGTTTTTGCGCAATGCCTCCTTAAATCAAAATTGAATGTTTCCTTTTTACAAGACGTAAAATCATCAAATATTTGATTGCAGTTTCTTTCAGCATTTCTGAAATCCAGCCTGAATTATTGATGGTGCGATTTTTATTAAACAGCCTTGACCAATATTCGCTTGTGTAGCCTCAAAAAGTTTTGTTCAAAGAAAAGTTTTGATACCAGCACTTTCATTTCAAGGCCTGAGAAATATCTCGATTTAAGCAATAACGCAAATTTGTCACAAATGATGGAAGTATTGATGCCAATGTTAAGATCAAAACATATTTGGTTTTTTCCATTATAACAAGACAAGAACTTAGATAATCTCCTTTTATTTTTCCTTGAACGCTTTTGTCATAGTCATTTGAATTGTTGTTTATTTTTATTCGAAATGAATGCTCGTGCATGAATTTGATTTTTCACGGTTTTTCGTAGAAAGATGGAATCACCGATGCGAGGCTTCGTGCCGAGCGCCAGCGAAGAGAGATCATTCAACCCGAATACCAATCAGTGGCTGATTGTTATGAAATCGATTCAGACTTTGGACGAGACGCTTGGCGAATTGGAAGAGAAGCTTAAGTCGCAAAGTGCTAATTTACCCGGAAGGATAAAGGAGCTCTTTAGGAAGGATAAGAAAAGCTTTGATGAATCGTGGGAAGGATTAAAGGCTAACTGGGTGTCGAAATGTCGCGAGATAAGCTCGCTCAAGAAGTCGATCAATAGGATCACAGATGAAAAGACTAGGCTGCGAGATGAGAACCAAGGATTAGAGAAATCTATTTCTAGATTGCAAGGCCAGTTTAGCCAGGCCGTGCAATCGAGCCTATCCGAGATTCAGTCATTGACATCAGCTAACTCGGATCTATCAGTTCAGTTGCAAAAGATGAACGGATTGAAGGGTGAAATCAGCAGTTTCAAAGATAACGTTCGTGCCAAGATAAACAACATAAAGAAAAAGCTGACAGCAATTCCTAATAATGGCAACGTGCAGCAAACTATCGAATCAGCAACGAAAGATGATTGGGCACAGATCGACAAGTTGTTGTCTTCACTTAAGTTTGATGACATTCTGTCAAAGGATATAATAGAAACAGCGCATCAATTGGGTAATAATATCGAAAATAAAAGAATGGAAACTCTAGAAAGTCATTTGCAAGAATTAGAGAAAGAATTAACGGAGAAAAATAGCAGAATAAAATATCTGGAACTGCAAAGTGAGGATTTATTGAAAGAAAGGAGTGTTGTTGTGAGTGATGTTAATGAAGAGGAAAGGAACTGGTTTGATTACATGAAAAGGTCGATAATGCCAGGAAAGGCATCACATGATGATTGCCTAGAGGCCTTTGAGGTGGCATACATGGTCAAAGGCATCAAGTCAGCAAAGCATTTGTGCATTAATGCAAAGGAAGGTCTTGCAGAAGTATATCAACGTACAATCACAAATGAAGATGAATTGCACGAGGTGAAAGATTCAGCGGATGAAATACACGCAAAGCTCAAAGCGTCACAGCAGAAAATGGAGAGTGCAGAGGCTGAAAATGAGTATTTAAGAAGAAAACTGGAGCAAGAAGAGAGTAAAATGAAAATATCACGGGATGAGGTGATATCGCTGCAGAGTCGAGTACACATGTTGACACAGGAGAAGGAAGGACTTGAGCTGCAAATTGGAGGTATGAAAGGGGGGAAGGAAGATTTCAAGGAGTTTTGCTCAAATTTAAGCATTGAAAACGAGAAATTGTTTGCTGAAATATCGCGGATACAGTTAGAACGGGATTCGATTTTCGAGAAGCAACAAGAAACAGGAAAAAAATTGGCCAATGCTTTAAAGTCTATTGAAGTTATGGAGGAAAAATGCGATCTGCTGGAGAGACAGCAAATGAAGTTGAAAAGAGAATTCCAGGAGCAAAGCAGAGAACTTGAGCATTGCTCCAAGGAAAATGAAGAATTGAAGACACTTTTGCACGAGAAAGAAGATTCTTTTAGCGAATGCAAAAACGAGTTTAGGAATATTGACATTGTGAATAAGGATTTGGAAGATCAGATATTTCAGCTAACGAATGATAATCAGAAATTGAAGAATGAGTTAGGAAAGATGAAATCGAGCAAGAAACAGTTAGAAGCAGAATTGAAAGAAAAGAAACTCAGGATTGAACATCTTCTTGAAGCGGAAAGAAAGGTTGAAGAGAAGTTGAAAGATATAATGAAGGATGGAAGAGCTGGAGAGACAACAAGCTCACATTTGCAAGCCGAGTTTGATATTAATGAGAAGTTCTTGGAAAAGTCTCTTCATCGAGCTTCGCAACTCGATGGTATTGTGCGTCAAGTTTTGAAGCAACTCAAAGAATGGGCTGGTGACGTCGTAAGCGAAAAAGACAGAGCAGAAACAGCCAAAATGTTGGATGGGCTGATAAAGAAAGATTTTACTAATGAAGAAGAAATCAACTCAGAAGAATTAGAGTCAATCTTCGAGTTTCTAGCGACGGTTAAAAAGTCAACAAGACAACATTTGCAAGAAACAAAAAAACTTATGACTGATATATATTTGTTGGTTGCGAAAACAAAAGTTGGCTCAGAAAGTGCCGAAATTAGCAATGAAACGAGTAGCAACCAAATCGCCATGTTAAAACAAACAAAAATGTGGCTCTCGTGGATCTTGAAAGACTATAAAAAGATTTGTGAAGCACCAAGTCAAAATGAAAATGACGATAAATTTAAAAATCTCAAGGAAATTATTCTGAAGTATGTAATTGCATCAACTAAGCAATTAGAGGCAATGCTCGAAAGCGTGTCTGAGAAGAATTGTATCATAATGTTGTTGCCTAGCAACAAAGAGCCAGTACAGGATTCAATGGACAAATCTAATGAAGGCCTACTGCATTACGTGCGCGAAACATTCAGAGCCAATCAAATGGCGTTGGAAGCAGCTGTAGGAACATTAGAGCTAGTAAAGATCAGAGGAGAGACTGATATCATCACAAAAAGTGAAATAGAGGCTAAGATAAAAGACCCTCAGCACAGAGGACTTTGCGAAATTTTGAAGCGAATGAACCAATCGGTGGATGCATTGACAACGAGGTTGCAAAGCTTGATTACGAATGCAGAGCTCGCTAGGACGCCGTCAACAAACAGTTTTGAAAATATTGAAGGGATGAAAGAGGTTGAAGAAAATGGAACAATGAACTTGCAGATGAATGCGTTAAAGCAATTGATTAATAAGCGAAATAACGAACTAGAAGCTCTTCGAGAGGATCTCCAGTTTATCAAGATGGAAAAACAGCAGCTGATTTCCGAGCTACAAGAAAAGGATTTTGATTTGGGAAAGCTTCAAGATGAGGTAAGGTTAAATGAAAGACCTTAGATCTTAATGAAAGATCTTAGTTGCCAAAGTTTTTTATTTCAAAGTTTCCAACGGCCAAGACGATTTGGGTGGGAAGGGGGGGAGTGAATGGAGGGGGTATTGCAATTTTGTTGACAAGAACTTGCCTCGTTTGATTATTTCATTATTCTATTAGTTGCCGTTCTTACTTTCAACAGGACTCAAATATAATCATTATTTTTTGCTTGAATAAAAAATCTGATTTTTTGTATGCATGCTAAGAATGAACGTTTCTCAAATTTTGAAATTCTGATTTCCAAGTAAAGAATTAAAGGCAGAAGTAATCATTTAGTCGATTGATCTCTTAGATTTGCTAGTCGAAAAACCATTGCAATTGCAGCGGCCTACTTTTGACGTTAATAAATGTTTCCCTTCACACCGAATGACTCAAATGTAATCATTGACATCTTTTAAAGGTGAAAAGACTTGACAAATCAAGCACTGTGTTGGGAGATCAGCTTTTGACGATGAAATCAGATTACGAGAAATCATCGAAGGAATTAGCTCAGAGGGAGGAGGAGCTAGAGTTGCTGAAAGAGAAACTGAGGTCACAGGTTGATCGGGAAGGTGACGCTGGCGAATTGAGCAGCACAGAAAGTGCGCGATCAGAAATCGAGAGAAAAGAATCGGAGCTGAGGCGGTTGAGATCGAGTCTGGAGGACATTCGGAACGTGCACTGCAATAACGAGGACAGAATAAAGTCACTTCAGAACAAAATCGAAGGAGTGACGCAATTTCTATCTACAAGAGAACAGCCAATCCCTGAAGAAGAGCATGACAATGAGGAGACTCCCAAGACTAAAAAGGAGCAATTGCTTGTTGTAAGAGAAATCGAACTGAAAACATCCCAAGCAAAGTTTTGTGAAGCAAAAGACTTGAAAATCCGCAGTAACAGTATAGGGCAAGATGAATCAGAAGATGTCTCGAGAAAACTGCAGAGCAAGGAGAAGGAAAACAACTATTTGCAATCCGTTGTGCGAGAATTGAAAATGGAGCTGATGTCGGTGCAACAGAGTCTGACAAATGAAGACCAATGGCGCTCGAAATTTAACAACATGATTGACGGAAAGCCTTACACAAAAACGCCGGCAAGTCGTACGCCGCCACAGGCACCTTCTTATGAAAACGAGAAGCTACGGCGTCGCAATGTCGAGTATCAGCAAATCAGGCGAACATATAGAGGCGAATCTGACCCAATGACAGCGAGCAGTGACGAAAGACCGCTGGTTTCAGTGCACTCGCCCAAGCACTTCGGGTATCCACAAATGATGTTACATGAGCAGTACCCACATGATTGTGAGATATGTGCAATGGAGTCTGTGTCAGGCGCGTCAACATATTTGTGTTCTGATGAGGAGTGCGATTGTAATTACGCATCATGCGAAATGTCGGATACGTCTTTCGCATCTGACGACGAATTCGAACGAAGTAGAATGGTTTCACCTGGTTTCAAGGGGGTTTACTCCAAAGAAGCAAGAAATATTTCGCTGCAAGAAGCCACGTTCGCCATCAAAAATCAGCACGATATGAACGTCAGACGGGGGGATGGCTCACCCTCGCTCATCCATAACCCAGCCACATCGCCGAGGCACAAGAGCAAAGGTCGCTATTCTTTTGATTATGATCGCCCAGTTGCCAAGTACACTGTTACTAACCTAACAAGATCAAATTCAGCTCGATTGGCTTCACGTCCAACGTCCTCGTCTTCTAGCCATTTCACAGAAAGGAGGTTTAGTTTGGAAAGGAGGTCTCTTGAAAGAAGGCCACGTTCAGATGGGTCTTCTTTCTATCCAAGAGAACACCTGTCTCCTCAACATGAGCCCCCGTCTTTCAAGTCGTCGCATTCACAGCAGTCTTCGGATGAATGTTCGAGTTTGAGTTCTGGCAGTGGGCCTTGCTCGGGGGTCGATTGTCAACATGACTGTAAAAAGCGGAAATCGAGCAGGTTAAAAGGCAAACTGGTTTAACTCTATTGGGAATGAGACTTTCATTGGAATCAACACAAACATTGCAGTAGTTAGTGAATCAGCTATTTAAGAAGCAACCTGCAGAATCTAGATGGCACACGGACAACTTAAAAGAGCACTTAACGGACACCTAATCTGCATAATCTTCACTTGGTCTTAGTGTTTTATCACTTCAACAAATTAAGTTTGATTTCATATAGAGTATTGCAGAGTGCAGAGCACTGTAAGAGGAGCAATCTCAAAATTTATTGAAAAACTTTATAGGATTAATTTATTACACGACTGAATAAAGCTTATTGCAAGTATGTTTATATCAAGAAACCCTAGCTTGTTCTATTGGCATATACAATATAGAATTAATTGCTTCTTTGTTACGTTTAATCTCCCTGCTTTTTTTGCCGCATGCAACTACCGAAACGCAAGGAAAGGTAGGCAAAACCTGAACATGAAGCGCTGTCAAAATTTACTTTTAAACGAGAATGGGTTAGTGTGAACGTGCTATACCATGTGAACGTTTTATTCAACTTCAATGTTTAATATTTTTCGTCTTCAGCGCTCAATTTATTTTCGTTTTCAACTCATAAGCAATTTTTTGACGAGAATAGCTAAAACTGAACAGTAGGCCGACCAATGAATTAGCAAGATAGAAATAAACAAAGATTGGAGGATTTTGGATACCTAAGTCATTGACAATTAAATTCCAAAAATATTTTTACACGTTTGGAGAAAATGCACCAATTGAAGCTTCAAAATCAATCACAAAAGACGTTTCAAAATCATAGTTTGAGAATGGTTTTCTTTCTTTTTATTCGAGCAAAACTTTTTCCTGTTGAATGACGGGAAGCTATCTTTATGTTTTCTTTATTGATGTCATTCAAAATTGATGACATTTTTATATTCTCATCCTCGAGTGACAATCTATTTTGTGTTAAGTGAGCCAAATGTCTGCTTCGAGGGGAATTTTTTGTCAGATTGGTAACTTTTTGAATCTACGGATAGAGGTGCATGCAGGGTGGAGGGCTTTCTGTATCAAGGGGAAATAATTGCCTGTAACCAGGGGGAATTGGAGATGGTTGTTTTTATCCATGAGAAGGGATGTTTGTATCTAAGGGAGTGACTGTCTATATTTTGGGAAAGGGGTGTTGTATACTTCGGGGAATATGAAAAATAGCTGTTTGGATCCATAGGAAAGGGGTGTCTTATTCTTAGGAAAGGGGGTCTGAATCCTTGGAAAAGGGTGTCTGTATCCCTGAAAGAGGTGTCTGTACCCTTGGTTATGCGTGTCCTCGTCCTAGGAAAGGGGTACTTGTATCCTAGTTGAAGGGTGTCAGTATCCTTTGAAAGGGGTGTTAGTACCCTTGGAAAAGGTTTTCTGCATTCTTGAAAAGGGGATCTGTATCTTTAAGAATGGGTGTTTGTACCCGCGAGAAAGAAGTTAAAGAAAAGCCTGATGAAAGGAAACTTCCAATTTTCGAAATATCAGGAAAAAATTGGTCTTTAGAAAAAACTAGAAGCCAGAATACGTAAACTATAGAATATTACAAATATTTTTTTTCGTAAACACGATAGAAGAAGTTATTTATCAACATATAATTGCATAGATGTGGATCAGGTAGAAAATTGATTTTTTTCTCATTTGCTTATAAATAACATGATAATATGAGCAAAATTGGGATCCAGTTAGAGCCATAAAAACCATTTGCAAAATAGCAGTAAATAATTCTTCAAAAATCAGTCATCGCGTCGGTATTTATTTCTCTGCTATGTTTCCGATTGAAATTTTTCTACAAGGTTCTTTCTTAGCCTCCTTTCTCTTCTGGTTGCGGGCGGGGCCGAATTCTCTCTCCTAGGAACAGTACTTTTGCGCATCACCTCCAGCGAGGTCCAACTATGTGACTTGACATTATCCGGGTAAACGCGATAGGCCTTAGCCAGGTGTCTAGGCGATTCTTCGGCCAGAGTTCCAGGAATTTCTGACATCCCGCTATCTAAATTGTCTTCACTGCGACTAGTTCTCGTACTGTGTTCTTTCTCCATGTCAGTCGGACATTCATTTATCGAAACAGTTTTCTTTTTCCCCTGACTATTGTTGCTTCCATTACTCGTTGTGCGTTGTACTCGAGTATTTCTCCTGTAGATTCCACCTATATCACTCCCCGTATTTTCCGCCTGCTCAGTTTCATCTAAATCTTCAATTTCCAGGTCGTTATCTGCAAAAGACAACTTGCGTACTCTGGTTTCAAACAGAGCTGCAGGCTTCTCCTCCCTAATGGCAGATTTATTGGTGAGCAGCAACGAGTCTTTATCTTGCTGAAGCCGCACTGCATGCGACGAATGGCTCAACGCTCCTTCGTCTTCCGACCCAGATAGATTCTCACTTGACTGCGCGCAGCGTCCATTTAGATGCCCGTTCGCCCGTGCAGAGTGCTGTCCCCTAGGAGGGTGGTTATCCCTAGAGCCCTTTGACGCCAACCTGTCTTCTTTTCTCGCTAATTTTCCTCTACAGTATCGAGTAGGAACGAACTTTGGGGGTGGCTCTGGAGGTTTTCGCGCAATCGCAAGACGAAGCGTGCAAACCCAACGATACCGTTGAAAGTTAGTTTCACATTTAAAGTGGTAGTTTAGTTTTCCCATTTTCAAGTAAAATGGAAATCGATAACATGTTTTCCGCAAATATCCAACAGTTGCATCGGTCGTAAGTTCCAACATTGTGCAGTTATTCTCAATAAACTTTCCGGTCCGGGGATCTTTCCTGTTAAAAACCAAATATTTGTCACAGAGCACCGCATAATACTCCGTCCAAACGCGTGAAGCTTCCTTCTTCAGCAGCACTTCCCGGTAGTAAATCTTTTCCGGATTCGTGACCGAACTCGGTATTTGAATCTCCATAGATACGAACACAGTTCAAACATTCAAACTGGCACTGTTCTGCACATCTGCCCGGTTCAATTTTCCTGCCTAACCCAAGTTTCTCTCTGCATATCTGTTTCACTACTTCAACCACAACATTTCCCTGACAAAGGCCTTTCTGTACCTGCATTTATAATCCAGCGAGTCGACGGGAAACATTAGCAAAGCGATGTCGCTTGAGGTGAATAAATAAACTTTTCAGCTGCAAGACAAAGCCAGACTTCACAAGATGTGTGCTTCAAATGCATTTAGTTCATTGCAACAGCAATAAGGCCTGCAAATTTGCTATCTCTCGTTTGTGAATCAACAAAAGCAAGTTCCCATTACCTTTGACGACACAAAACTGTGCAATGGTCAAGTTGACCTTGCCTACTTCGGTAATTTCTTGCTCCAACGTCCAACATCAACAAAAACACGCATTTTTCCACATTCCATGCCAATCAATTCTATTGTGCGCCAAAGGATGCGTATCAAATATATTGGAGGCAAACCAGTAAATTTCAAAATCAGCCTCCTATTGCTACGGGTAGTTGTATTGAGCGACTGTTTCCGCCCATTCGTTGCCCTGCATAACAAACCGCGCTGTTTCAAAGACCAGAGGATAATGATTGCTAAGAGAAGTCCGTGAGCTCTTTACCACAGGGTTTGAACAATCGCAAATAATCGCAAAACTAGCAATCTCGCAAGTCAAGCAATCCACCCAATTAAGGAACAAACCATTTTGTGAAACTAACCATCTAGCGATGCTAACCCCATTGCGTAACAAACCATCATCTCCCAAAGCCAAATTCATGGATATACGGGCAATATTGTGAAACAAGAATTGCAAAACAGGTCACCTCACGAGACCAGCCACTTCGAATTGGGTCCTGCGCAGGCTATGGTGTAACTGCAGTTGTTGTGTGGATTACCGATACAAAAATACCGTGAATTTGGCATCAGCTCAATAAACAAGCGTGGCAACGCCCAAATTTACTTTTCAGCAAATAGAACGCTAGTATTTTGTGCCTCTCAAGCAAATTAAATATATGTCAAAAGATTTTTGTCTTTGACAATTTTGGGAAAAATCATGTTGGCCTTTCAAGTTAAAAGATTGTAAAGAAAACACAACATCCGTTTATATGAATAAAGAACACGCACAGGCTTATTGAAATTGCGATTACTTCTAGGACAGTTAAGTGATTTACGCCTGCAATTTGTGGCAAATCGTTGAAATTTGAACATGATAAGATATATTAGTTTAATAATTTGAAACCTATAAATGATAAGAGCTCCTAGCACCGTGGTTCGTAGCACAAACAACGATTAGGTGAACTGATAAAAAATAGCATAAAACACACGGGTGGCCGCATTGGTGCAATAGCAGGCCGTCGCTCGTCTCCACAACTGGGCCTTTGTGGCAAGCAATCACTGATTAACAAAATGCATATAAATAATAGATTCGGACAGACACGCCAAAAAACCAGTTGGATTCGAGATTTGACCCAATTAAAGAACAATCAGGATTGGGCACAGAATTTCCTTAAACGAACTCAAGGAATTGACAAACCGAGAAGCCGTTGAGAAATGATGACAACCCAGGCTGATGCTGGAAGGTGAATTGACAACGAATTGCTGCAGCACAATCTGCATGAGGCAGATGAATTGTGGGGAAGAGGGGCTGGCAAGGGGGAGGGAAGAGAATAATTCTCTTTCCAAACAATCTTCTTGAATTGGCCAATTTTCAATGAATTTTAAAGAAACGCGTGTAAAACCGATTGATCTGGTCGAAAAATGATTGCACTTTAATGAGCGATAATTGTAAGAAATGTGGATAGGGCAATCTCAGAGGAGGCAAAATGAAAAGGAGGTTGTCAACTTGAACACAAATATCCGCATCTACAACTTATCGTAAAATAAGGACGATATTAAACACAAGACTAAAACGCTATCTACATAATTGTACAATTAACGCCGAAGTACACTGTGGAAAAAATGACAGAAAAAAGAAACAATTTAAGTTCTTAGCTAAAAGGAATTTGTCCCACGCATTCCAAAATATAACTTATAAATCCAACTGATAAAATATGGAAAGCTTAAAATCTACAGTTAAAATTATGTTATCAGAATTTGAGGATTGTGTGGTGTGAATAGGATTGTGATAGAGGGGGGGGGAGGGGATGGGGGCGGTTAATGTTGCAAAGTGCGAGATCATTGGCTGGTACATAAAGATAACATGAAAAGAGAAGGGCAAGTAAGCCACAGTAAGGCAGTGGGAACTAGGGCGCTGTTAGAAGGCAAGATATGATGCTGTGGTTCGGAGAGCCTGCGGACGGACTCAAGGCACAAAGATTTATTCAGGCACACTCTTTTGATTTGTGATTTACATAAAGAAAATATACCAAAACTTGATAATATGTCACAAACTAGCCCTTTCCTTTTTCTAATAAAGCAATATTTACAAATCCTTCAACGTCTTGAAACATGGGGAAAGAAAGGTCGAGGACGCTGTTCGTTACAAAGCAAAAATCACTAATAAAACGGTACTCACACAACTATAAACATTTCTTCTAAATACTTTTTAAAACAATCTTCTGGTTAAAAAATAATCTAAATAATCTAACAAAACCCTGAAACAAATTTCGACTTTATCAAGCACCGTGTTAGCTCAGAAGTAAAAAAAGTGTACAAAATATGGGAAGTTGATATAATTTACAGCAGGTAATTAAAACTATTTGAGAGATACTCAAATTTTTAACAAAATTAGTCAACAAAACATATAGCTCTGAAAATTATCATTGGCTTTGGAATCTCATGGTTCCCAGAAAAAAGGTCATGGTTCCAAGAAAAAAGGTCATGGTTCCAAGAAAAAAGGTCATGGTTCCAAGAAAAAAGGTCATGGTTCCCAGAAAAAAGGTCATGGTTCCAAGAAAAAAGGTCATGGTTCCCAGAAAAAAGGTCATGGAGAGGTTTGCTTGCCGGGGCTCTGGAACTGAACCAGAGGGGGCAAAAAATATGTTTTACCCAACTTCTTAAGTTCTATCACAGTATCTGTACCCTAAAATATTGGCATAGTTGAGGACAAAATTGGCATTGTTCAATATCTGAATTACGTCAAAAAAGTAAGCTCAACTCCCTGAAAATCTGATAGGTTAAGGTACAATATTACATTCAGTTATGACGATTTCATTTGAAATTACCCACATATCTTCAGTGCAGGCAAATGTTTTTCCTTTTTCATGAGCGCGAGGCTTGGTCTCGTTTCCAAATTGCGACGACATTTGTATCAGATACTGCTACAATAAACTTCATTTGTTGGCCAGCAGACACGTGATTAAAAAGTCTTGCCAGCTGATTGGAGCATCGCAAGCACTGGAAAGAAAATACAAAAATACACTGAGGAGTACAAAAATTTGGCTATCTTAGAAAACAGAGAAGTGAATTTCAACACTCGTATGTGAGATTAATGATTTAAGATTAACTGGGCACCCAACATTGTAAATTTCGATGTTGGACGAAATTGAACTGAGGTTGAAAATGTTGGCTGCCGACGTCCAACAATTCTTTTGTTCTGATGTGTTAGGTAAAATGTTGGATCGTTTGACCACCTCAGCCAACATTGTTGGCTCTGCGCACGCGTAGTCGGTAAAAGACCGCCAAAATTCAATCACAGCATTGTTGTTGACATTTCGGATTGATTTCGGTCGCTTCGACTCTCGCTTGGATTCTCGCTTCGACTCTAGATTTTGCTTACAATTGATACCATTTATAGCTATGGCGGCATTCGGATTTCGTTTTCTCGGATCGCAATGTGGCCCATTGTTATGCGCGGCCATCATCGTGAGCGTCTGGTGTGCCTACTATTGTTGAGCAACATCAATGCTACCTACTACCAATTCCATTTTCAATCTGCGCGAGAAAATTTTGGGCGAAATGTTGGGTGAAATGTTGGATCGTTTGACCAACAACGTTGGATGACCTTCCAACATCGAAAAAAATGTTGGGCGAAATGTTGGGCGAAACGTCGGATCTTGTGACCAGGGCTTTATATGCCGAACTTAATTTGTCAATTAAGTACCCGAGAAGCACGACATTCGAATCAATCATGGCAAGATTACGTTCAAGGCATTCGCCATGCGTATGTACAGTGAATCCAAAAATAACTTCGGACAAGTTGATCAGAGCACGTGCGTAAGAAAGAAAGATTTGCAGAAAGGCGGAAGCTGCTCACATGTTTTTCTCTGTGCGCAATTTGATTGGTCAGCCCCTGTTGGTCAAGTGATGGTAAGCCACTTTAACTTCAGTCAAATGCCTTTAAGTGCTGCAAAAGCAGTGTGGCACGGCGGGTCTTGCCGAACTTCACTAATGGATGATTCGGCTATTCAGTGTTTTTTTCAATTTGCCGCCAACATACGTTTCGTTAATAAGAATTTCAAGTTGCATGCCGCCATCTTAGAAGTCCAGTTACTTCATGTAAGCGACGCGAAGTCGAAGATTTGTTCCTCGTTTGTCAGAGTATAAGACTTTGCATGAGGACAAAAATGTAAAGGGGTACTTATAGCGACGAGCAAATGGAACACGCGTTTGATCGGTTTCTATCTTGATCAAGCGGTTTCATGCAGTAAAATGGCGCCTCACTTCGCAAATTTTCAATATTTTTTTCTTGATCTTATGAGAATTCATTACGAAAACTATGCTAAAAGCTACTGTTTTGAATTGAAACTCAAACAAGCAAATCCATAGAATTGATTTGCTACCTTCATTCAAAGATTATACCCAGAGGGTAAATCCGGAACAAGAAAAGAGCAGACGAGATAAATGTGATGATGTTTTCCGCGCAAACTCCTAAAAAATAACTGAGTGGAACACAACAACATTGAATGTGATAACTTTAATTCACCTTCGAGTGCCGAAGTTCAAGGGGGCCTTTCCTGTCCCTTTCTTCAGGATCTGGCAATTGTCCATGAATTTTGGACAAATCGTAGAGCCACACAAACCCCTCATCATCACCCGCTAACAACTTGTTTGCGCCTAAAAACCAAACGGATTGCAGTCAGAACAAGACTTGAGAAATTAAAAAAATATGCGAGGCAAAATTGTAGATCGCAATTTTGGTAGAAATTTGTTCCAGAAAACGAAATGAAGGCACGACACTCACTCGAAATAAAGTTGAACTTCAAAAATGGCGTATCTGTGACTCTCCACGGAAGTACATGCGAAATAATGACGTCATTCTGTATAAAAAGAAATTGGTTAGAGTGGTAGAGATTAAGTTTGTTGGAGTGCAATGGGGAAAGATGACGGAGAAGTTTAGCGAATCTTAATTTTCCGGGGCAATCGAATCAAAATAAACATCAATTCAGAAAAGAAGTTCTTCTCATTCTTATCGAGATAAACAAGATCAACGACAAAAAACTGAAGATACAGCTCATACGTCCTTAACAAAACTATTGTAAAAGAGTTCAACCGAAAAAGGTTATACCAAACTTTTCAACTTGCAAAAGCACTAAAGAAAAATGAAAGGAACAAACTTGAGTGAATTCCGAGACTGAATACCAAAGCTGACATTGGCCCTCTTCGATGCGTTTAGTTGCTGAAAATCAAAAGCATTTCGTCAAACATAGATAAAGAATTTGATGCAAAAGCGGACGATGGCGTCTGTATGAAGCAGCAGTGTTTCAGGAGGAAAGAAAGGCTATGAGCGACAACAAACAGCAAGAAAATACAGAAGAATGTCCTCAAAATGACATTGTTGGACTTACCTACAATGGTGTTTGATATACAGCTAACGGAATCGACAGGCAACCGCCTTTCTCCTGGGAATATGAATTTGAAAACAGCGGACCTAGAGGAGAATGCAACGAATCCTAATTTATCTATTATTAACGGAATAATCTATTTGTAAAGAAAAGTAGTGGAGTTTAAAAGAAATACGAGACACATGCTGAAATCAGCGGCGAGGCCATGGTAAACAAAGTCGCAGAGGATCTTCAGCAACAAAAAAGGCGTGGCATTAGCGGCTACCTTAATGAATTTTATCGAGCAGTTCTAAAAATTGGCACCTGAGAAAAAAATATTTTGCATAAATAGGACGGCAATTGCCTCAATGCAAACAACTATGATGCAATGAGCTATGTCTTCGGTTTTTGCGCCATTTCAAAAATTTGTAGGACCTAGAACGGGGAAGGACAAAATAGACCTAGAACAAAGAAAATTCTAAAATTCCAAAATTCATTCATTCTCTTTTTGTCAACTTTATTCAATGAGATCCCATGATGTTGTAGGTTCAAAGTACGGAGAAAATACAAATAACTTGGATAAATATATTACATGTAAGGTTTGGTTAAAAATATAACATGCGATTTTGATCAACAGCAAACGGTATCAGAGAAAGCAAGAACTAATCTCAATAATTCATCTCATAAAACAGGAGAATGCCTGACCTGGTTTGATGCTCATCGACATTGTCAATATTCCACACATAACAGCCATCATCACACGAACCAACCATAATGCGTCCATGGGGTATGACGACAATTTGGCGAACGATGTTGCTTGATTTCAGAGTCAGCAGTTTTCTATTCACAAAAAAACGGACATAAAATCAACACTAATCGATGTTAGAATGACACTGTTATTCAAACAGTTTAGTCTCTAAAATAATTTTTCTCTCTTACAAATACATGTACAATTTGAGCAATGTCATTCTCCAAACATGCTCCGTTTATGTATTGATAAATTGAGACAACGAAAAGGTCATCAATTAACATTGTTGTAAAGTTATATATAGGAAATCTGATGCTATGAAAGTCAGATTTTTCCCTACATTTCCTTCTCGAGTTTTCCATACATTTCCAACCCTTTTGTAAATGTAAAACTGAATACTGAGTACATTATTTTTTATCTTTAAAAACGCTTAACTAAGAATGTTTTCAGATTGAATTAAATTGCGAGTGAAAGAAATAGTCTCTAAAAAAACCTTAATTCTTAATCTTTTTCTGTAATGAAGAAAAAACCAATGGAGGTATTTGATACAAATCTTTAGCACTTAGCTCTTGGCAGAACTTTGGTAAAATTTGAGTTATTGAAGCACTTTGCATAAAATACAAAATATTCTAGCAAACCGCGTGCTGCGAAAATTCATAAATAGATTCGATTCTTTGTTTACATACTTAACAGCCAAAGCAGGTGAGCTGGGTATATTTATGTCCCATAAGATAATTGTTTTGTCCTCAGAGCCACCTACAAACGAGAACAAAATGTAGTCTTGGAAGAGAAGTGGCAGTTTACGCTTGTAAATGCAAAAATAATTGTTGAGACAGCTGGCAAATCTATCACCCATGTATTATTCACAAGCACAGCTCAGCAAGCTAAATTCTACCAACTAAATCCTAAACAAAATCGTTTTGTTTTTAAATCGTGACTTCTTTAAAATTATTCGTTGATTATTCGACAAAATAAAAATAAATTTCATGATGAATCAGGTCTAAGGCTTAGCTAATCAAACGGCAGAAGGGGAAAAACTCACTGAACAACCACGTAGGGTGGATGGGATGAAAAACAAGAGCATCGATCGCCTTTTTGTGGTGTGAAACCTCTTGATAGCAAATCAACTGCTGTGGATCGATCAGTTTTATATCACCGTGAAGCCCTGAAACACAAAATTAAGACGCTGAAAATTGAACATAGTTGGTCGTCTTGAAGCATCTTACATGAAAAGGTAAGCAATTGTCACTAGGCTATCGTTGCTTGAACAATATCAGTAAAGGCCGAGATTGGTGCGTACTGTTCTTTCCTAAAAATATTTTCTTAGGGGAACTTAATGGGCAATGAAGGGGTGCTGAACCCCAACCCCCGTGTCCCATTGACCAGTTTAGACATGTTTTCAATGTCACAATGACGAGTCGATTAAGTTTTTTCAATCACAACAACAATTTAATAATTCATGACGAATGGAAGCAAACCTGCAACAGCCAGCATGCTTGCCTTCACCAACTTGCCCGATGATTCGTCTGATTTTTCTACGACTGTCCATGCCAAGCAGTAAAAAACCTTGCAATTTAGAAATATTTTACTTTTAATATCAAATATTAGTTGAATTGAGTATCTATGAAATACAAAATGACAAATCGTTGAGAATCAAATCGTTGAGAACCATCTTTGGTTGTTGGAGCAATAGTTAAAGAGTATAATCGATTCTGCTCGTTGAAGCAATAGCAATATTTTACGGTATTTCATTTGCACGCCAGGACGATTAAAACAGAAGATCGTTTACCATATAGAGATGGGGTTAATCTAAGAGTAGCGTTTCCCCTTTGTGTTTCATTTCAACCTCCCCCTGATTTTTCAGTTCTGGTTAGAAAGATTAATTTCTTTAGCGGTAAAAAAACATTCTTTAGCCCTTGCTAACAGAGAGAATTTTCTGTTCCAAGTCCAACGAGAAATCAATACACAAACCAAACTATAAAGAACCAAAATGATTCTTCAACCAAGATCAAACGATGCAAAATCATTTCGGAGAACAAATATATTCAACCGAGACACAATTGAAGCGCGATTTCTAGTGGATATTAATGCAACTTTTAGCATTAAATACGATTGTTGAAATAAAATGACGACTTGAGACTGAAATAAAGTTTAATAAATTTAGGATTTTCACCCATCTGAAAACAACTATCTGTCACTGGTCAAATTTAAGCCCAACTACAACTAATTTAATAGGTTTCACAAAAAATAAATGTTGATAATAATATTCCTTTGACGCTCCATTTCCAGTGACATCAGAAGATTTAAAGGAGAACTGACACGCAAAAATAGGTTTGGCTAAAACGGTAGTTTGTGACAAGCGAATACCGGGATCGAAAAGGTTTTTACATCACAGTTACCGTTTTTGAAATACAGGCGTTTTAAGTTGAGAAACGACAATTGTTCCGACAACTTGAGATTCAAGGCGAAAATCGTCACGAGTGGCCGATCATCTTTGACGTCACAAGTGACATGTTCTCAGCACGTACTGTGTGTTTCCCTATAGAAACATTTAAGAATATGCTGCGGACAAATCTTAATTTTGTGCATGTGAAAGGAGTCAATTTCGCATTTTTGACATGTAATAACTTGAATGGTTTGGGACTCTGAATCTGAGTTTTAATGCACTGATTTCGAAACAAAATGAAAATTTCAGCCGTCTGAGTTTGTGCCACCAGCCAGCGCTGCAGCTTGGGCAGACAGTCGTTCCATGGCTCAACAGTGACGATATTATGAACAAGGAACAGACTGGAAGTACAAACTGATAAGGAATTTCTATTAAAAACATTGCTCTTGCTACAATTTTAATGAGATCAGGTATCGTAAAACTAGAATTTCATTTCAGATTGAGGCGTCTTTGTCCAAACTGCTTTGTCTGTATGGCCTAATTCGCTGAAATGCCTATGATGCCCTAAACGGAACTGCAAGTTATTCATTGTTAATGTAGCATTCTATGATTGTTTTTCAATGTTTCAAACGCGTTAACTGTATAGTGATATCGGGTTAAAAGTCGACTTGTGCGGATTATATGCCATTTTCACCGGGCGTGAAGGGTTTCGGGAACTGATAAGTTACCTTTAAGGCAGTGGAAAAATCTATGTTGCGAAATATGCTCTTAGATCTTAGTCAAGGAATTTGATTTCTTAGTAAAAGAAATTTAGCTGCTGTTTAAATATCATAGTAATATTAATTTGCGCATCATCTTATTTTGCAAATAGTTTTGAAGTGGAGGGGGGGGGGATGCTCTTTTTGCAAGACTAGGTTATTCCCTAGTGTCCCAACCTCTCTTAAATATGATAATTAAGTCCATGGCCGAACGTTTTTTTCTTGAACTCTTATTTCTGCAACCAAAGCAGGTTGCCGGATCACTTTTACCGCCGTCTCGACTGAATTTCGTTTGTCTTTTGGCTATTGCTTCAATCCCCCCCTTCCCCCTCCAATAAAACATTTGGAGAAACGGCATCAGTTTTCCAACAAAGTGGACTCCTATTTTATAAGCTTAGAGACCTTTCCAATGTTTCAAAGAAAGCTGCTTCGAAGATATCATGGCATAAATATAAATTTTTTTGTGGACATTAGCGTCTCAACAGACCCGCATCTAGGATTTTCTAGCTTCTTTATACTTATAAATGAAATGCCTGACAATTTTTTGTTATTTTATCGCAGAATATTTTCAATAAAACATGAAATTTTACTTGAGCTTTCACAGTTGCAAAAAGTGCAAATATCAGAAAAACAGCGAATCTAAGAAGAAAATGTTTACCAGATACCAGATTTGAAGTCAGCGACACATTCTGCATAGAATAAGCCAAAGTTATTTGGCGTGTCAGTTCTCCTTTGAGATAAGGTCACTTTAAAGAGATATATACAATAGAATGTACAAGAAAAATCAACATACTTCTTGAGGTTGTTTATATTTTTTTAGAACTTGTCCTGTGTTGCAATCAATGAAGCAAACAGAATCTCCCCCACAAGTTGCACATATTCCAGTCGTCTCACCTTTAAGAAATGTTTGTCTAATTTTAGATTCACGTTTACAAAAAAAAATTTTTAAACATGAAAGACCAAGAATCTCTTCCTTACAAAAGCTGTCAATGTTGACGTAACGCAGTCATTCCTTGACTTAGTTTTCGTGCAAGAAATGTGATAGTTCTCAAAGTAAAAAAGAAATCATAGAGTTAGTCATTTGCTCCCTCGTAGAGCCCCCCTCTCAAAGAAACCCTTACCCTACAAGCACGTTTATAGGAAGCCCCAAAACCTGAGCATGCCACAGACTAAAAAATTGCGTAGTATTGGCCTCCCAGCCTCTTTCATACCACACACCAAGTTTCATACCACACACCGTAAGGAAAATGAACGAATCTGGTCACTGATAAACTATATAGTATGCTAATCAAGGAGGGTTATTGAGAAAATGAGCAAATAAAATGAACTTAAAAAGGGAGACATTTTTGAAAACGAGCAGCTTTTCAGTGAACTTCCAGAACTATTCAAACACCTCTCTCCCTGCTTAAGCCGCAACCAACAAGCCCCAAAACAAAAATGCTTAGATGAGGACTGAAGAGAGGATTTAGGGGGGGGGGAGGGGTTGGGGTGGAGGAGAAGGTAGAAAGATTTTACTAGTTGACTTGACTATACCTGGGTTATTAACATCGGGTTCAAATTCACACATCCAGACTTTGGTATCCCAATCTTTTGGGTCGTTGTTCATAGAATGCGTTTGAAGAAGGTATTTCAGGATATACTTTGAGCCATCGCTACCTGCACCAACCTAAAATTTGCAAATTATGAAAATAAACAAACAAGTAAAGATAAGAAAAGACTAGAAAAGAAGAAAAAAGATAAAAATTTGAATTAGAAATTCTTTCTCTGTCTCTTTATAACTGGACATTACAGCTAGCTCACCTGGTCAACCTGGCATTCGGCATTTTTTCGCTTCTTTTCCTTGAGTCCATCTTTTTCTACACTTGTTCTTTTGCCTTGCGAAATGCTCCCACCGTTCTCTGTTACAAAACATGTGAATAAGTTTCTATAATTTCCAGACTATCCGTCATGTGATACATTTCATGGAGAAAAACTTAAGTTGCAAATGCCCAAGATATCTTCAAGTCTTGTAGGAATGAACTATACAAATAAACCCAACTTTGAGGAATGTTACCTAACGACAATACAACTAAAATTTTGCAAGAAAATGGATTTATAAGAAGAAAAGAAAAAGGCTTGTTTAGCTGAGAAGGATTGAATAACATATCATCATACATATATTGTCAGACAGACGCTGCATGACTTACCATATGAAAATAACATAAAAGAAATATTCTTGACGTACCTTTGTTTCCATTTGCAGAGTCCTGTTGCTTTCTAATGGTATCAGGTAGTTCTGACTGAATAAAGGCGTCAAGCTGCAAAACAAAGATTTAATCTAAGATATAAAAATAATACGAATCCACATAATAAATTGGTTGATTTCCTTGCTGAGATATAGCGTTTTGAATACAAAACAGTAAAATTTACCTTGAAGTCTCGATAACTTTTAAGAACTTCTGGGCCACAAGTAATTTTTTTCTGCAAAATAAAAAGAATCAGAAAGTTGAATAAATACAAATCAAATTAATCATTTATTTTCAATGCCATTTGGCATTTGAGAATCATTACCGTTCACAGGCATTGTGTTTTACTACTGTTTGGCATTGCACTTCAGACTCAGGCAGCAATGCACCCATCTTTAAAATTCAAGTTTGCCAAGACACTGGAATAGCTAGAACAATTATTTTGGAGAATTCAAATCTTTTTCTAATTTATACTGCAATTCTGAACGTACGTATAAGGCAACACTTCGTTTTTGGGTAAAAACACACCACTTCCAGCAAAAACAGACCACAAGTGTTTCGCCTGCTCCAAAATAAAAATTGTTCTATTCATATTGAGTTTTGACAGGCAAAATCATGACAATCACGAAAGAAAGAATTTTCTTTTAATTTTTTTCTAATTTCCTTCAAATGTATTTTACGAACCTAGAAACTCTACTTTATATGCTGGGAAAGATGGTATCTCTTAGGAACTCTTGAGGCATATTTAAATAATGAGGGCAAGTTTTTTAAAAAGTAAAATTGGCTTTAACATGATTCTCTAGTTATAAACCACAGGGAATACATGAACAATATTTTTTCTGAATACTGGACAGCTAATTAACCAACTCCATACACTTTAACTTTCCTTTTGGTCCAAGTGAGATTGCTGGCACAAAGTGCACTCAGGGTAAAAACATATGGAAACGGTAGATAAAAATGGCGGCTCACAGTGGCCAAGGGCCAAGAACTTGGGAGCGAATGATGCGAAAATGCATTCTTCATGTTACAGGGTTTAAGTTGAAAACAAAATTGAACGATTAGTTTGCTGTTTAAAGGAAGAAATTTAGTAAAACATCAAAGCACTGCTTCAAAATGGTTCTTTACAAATGTACAAAAAGCATTTGTAAATAGTGACAATGAAATGAAGATTTTTTGGAAAAGAATACAACGCTTGAGTAAAAATCACAGAAAAGGAACTTCAAGCTTTGCTCTGATGACAAAATTTTTCTTTAGAAGACCCTTCTAGCAGGAATTTAGGGCTTGAAAATTTCAATATTGACACCAGGAAAGTCGCTCTTCGCTCAACCAAAAAGACTGTGGTTTTTGATTCTTTAATATGTTTATCATCTACCCAAGAAACAATTAAAAAAAATTGTTATACGTTTTTTCTTTATTGTGGCTTTTTAAATCGTAAATAGAATTATTCAAATCCAAGCTGTTTATGTCTTTTAGACAATAAACTGATTTGATCACTAATTGTCACCTTTAAACAGTGTTCACCTCATTTCATTATCAATAATCTGCAGGATTCAGAGCAGAAACTATAAAAATTGAAGATAATGAATTATTAACCTATGTTGACTACTCAGAGAACTTTGAAAATAAACAACAAGGAGAAATAAAAGCAGCATTCTATGGTCAGGGCCTGTTTACACTTTATACAGTTTGTGTTTATAGTAACCAAGGTGGAGTGAAAAATGTGACACATATGCCTTGGTGACAAAAGAGAGTGACCATAACAGTGGTGTCAGTTTTGGATTCAATAAGTTTATCCTTTACCACCTGCAACAAATATATACCTTTGGTATCATTCATCTTTGGTCTGATGGATGTGCAAGTCAAATATGACAAAATTGGTAGAATGAAGCAAGGTTAAAAGATTGGAAAAAAGACATGAAACAACAAATTGATTTACTTCAACTGAGACTGCAGACTGGCTAAGACAAAGATATTTTTTGTAGCTGAGCACTTACCTTGACTGTTATTAAAACTGCAGCCTCTGCTTCCTTGACCTCCTTTTCATCACTGAGATTCACATGCATGTAAAGCTTTTTTATTTCTGCAGACCTCAGCATTTCTTTTAGCTAAGAAAATAAATGATAAAATAATGAGTTTTACTGTTCAAAGGCTTGTCATAAAGTAATTATTGGTGCAACAGGCTTTGATGTACAGAACATGTTTGTGGTTCCTGCTCTTTACACCACAGCATAATTAATGAAAAAATATTACAAGAATATAGAATAAATAAATATGCTTACAGGAACCAAAAAAGTAACTCTGTAACTTTACTTGTAGTTGAAGCAAAAATATATATTGATGTTTAAAACCTACAAAAAAATCAAAACATCATACCTTGCTTGCAAGCATTGCATCAAGTCTTCCAATTGCTTCTCGCATTAGTCCAATATCCTTAAATCATTGAACAGAAAGTAAAATTAATGTTTCACAATTGCACATTTTGCTACTTCATTGCTAGTAACTGTAACACTGTGGAAGGATGAAATATGGCACATGAAAAGAAACAACAAGACATTAGGCATCAGACATGAAATTTAATGAAAAAACTAGTAACCAGAAATGAAAATATGAGCAATTTTTCCTATAAACCAAACCCTTGGGAATGTCATCTTATGAAGTCAAGAAGCATTAGTTATAGTCCAACAACTTTATCTAGCCTGGTCTATTGAAGAACAAAACAACTGAATAAAGAAATAACAATAGATTTTTCCTTAAAATGCTTTACTCAGCACTCAAATCTACATCTGGCTCTACAAACCCAAAAAGTATTGAGAAATTTCTAAGAAATAAAGCAAGTTGGAGTATTTTATTTCATCCCTACTCAGGAAAATGCAAATTTCACTCTATTTTTTTAAACCTATTTTGTGACCACAAATAGGCACTTCCTAATCTTTTGATATTTGTTCTCCTAAAAGTCATCTTGACCAATAGCTCTTGCCCCTTGACATAAAAATTGCAATTTGTATTCCAAATATGATGTAGTTTCTACTTACTTTTCCATCAAGAGTTTTTAATGCTGATAGTGTAGATACCAATTTGTATCTATCAGATACCTATGATAAATGATAAATGCTTCAACATGCCAAACAAGGACTATTTAAAAAATATTGTCAGGCATTATTTTACAAAATAGCTAACTATTATTGCTAAAACATCAAAATTCTTATGAAATTTTATGCAAACTATTAAGTTCTTTATTAAAAATTATTTGATCAAAATTTACAAAACCTCAATTGAATTCACAACATTCCATAACAAAAAAATAAAAACAAACCTGTATGTGATCATTTCCTGAAATATCAAGATGCTCTAGCTTGTTAAAGAAAATTATTTCATTGATGGACTGTAGTTTATTGTGAGAAATGTCTATTTTCAGCAAATTTTCACAATTCCTTGTAAGTGGTAAAGCGTGCAGGTCATTGCCACTCAAGTCAATCTCCTTTAAGTTTCCCAATGTAGAAAAAAAGTCATCTGAAAGCCTTTTGATACCTCGATTCTTTACACTAGGAATAAAAGGGGCATGATGAAAGAGTTGTAGGATATAAACTGAAGGGTATAAACATGCTCATCAATAATAGATCATACATGATAATTATTATCATTGCTCAAGAACATTGTTTCTGATTGCATTCAGCACAAATCTTGGATAATGAATTAAACCAATCTGGTAGCTCTTAGGAAGCATTACACATGTACCTAGGGAAAATATCATCAAACAAATTGTTACTTTTAAATAATTTTGTTTTCTGTGTTCATTTTCTGCTATCCTGTAAGCATTTTTATGAGGAATGAAGGACCGAGTTAAGCTATCAAATCATACACACTAGAGCATGAAAAAATAATTTTCATCTTGTCGCATCATTCAATAAATCATGCTACAATTTACATAGATTGGTTCATTTTTGTAAAAGAAAAGTGTTTTCCTTGTAAAATATACCTATTGCATTTGGGCCTACTGCCAAAGTCAAACATTGCTAAAACAAAGCATATTTTCTATATCCCAACTGTTCTATCTGACACAAAGTTCTGTATGGTATTTCATTAATATGATAATCAAAGATGCCACTATCAAAGATGCCATCATATTGCAAACACGACAATTCCTGCTTTGATTAACATAACTTATCACTGAATAAAAACACATGGTGTTCATTGAAGAGTTTATTTTGGTTCATGAAATACCCTATAAACAATACTTCTCAGCAAAAATTTGTAAAGTCATACTTTATGCTCTGTTCTATCTAGCCTGTTATTCTCTTATTAAAGATACTCAAAGATTAGGCAACTGAATAACTTGGTTAAATACTTATTCATTCTTTGCCTGAAATTTAATTATATATAAAACTTGCTTATTACAAACTCATTTACAGTTAAATTTCCTATTTCCTAAATTCATTTCCTACTTCATGGTAGGTTTAGTAGCCTGGGTACGGAAAATTGTAGAGTTGCAATTTCAAAGAAGTGCTCTATTTAGAAAAAAGAATTGTTTACAGCAAGAAAATGAAATAAGTTGAGTTGATAATGTTGCAGGAAAAATTTGATATAATGTGCTGGAGTTACCTATCATTTTTAAACCTCTCTATGCACCTCAGAGAAAAAACCGGCCTGCTCTGCCATAGATTTTAAGACTGCTAGCTAGGGAGTTAATAAGTCTCTTGCAGGTCTGATAAAGATGTGAATAACTGGATATTCTAAGCTTAGACTGGAAAACTTATATTTTCAAAGCTTTAGATAGACGGGGATATGTAGCATCTAGCATTAGCATGTCATAAATTCAAATACTTAAGTGACCAAAATTATGTTTACAGGCCACCAAAAAGTGCTTGATACCCTAGGCAGATTCCTGATGTTCACATTGAGTGTGAAACTTGATAGGGTTGCTTTCAGCTTTACATAGCCAGAGTCATACATGTCTTCCAACCCAGCTCTATATAATATGTAGCTGCTTTACACCTTTACACCAGGTATGGATTTCTTAGGAGTGCTTTTCCTTGGATTCTTATGCAAGTATAGAATTGGTTGTACAAAGTGCTAATTACAGCCTAATAATAACAGTTTGGAGGAGGTTGTGCTACAAATTTGTATTCTTGCATATCAATTGAGATTCATTTGCATGGGCTGGTGTTCAACCCTATCTTTAAGGCTGACTATAAGCAACTTGGAAATAAACAAGAGTTGATCTGTAAAAGTTTCATGTTTAATGCATGATTGGCAGCTCTGATTTGGAAATTTGTGAAACGTCATGCTAGAAGGAGCTTGTTCAAAAGGGTTATCTGCCGAAATCCACAGACACTACATGTATACCAGACAGTGAAAAGAGGGCGCTGTAGAAGGTTGGAAGGTGACAGCGTGTAAAAAATATCCACTGTAACCTTTTTGTCTTCATTTAAAAGGAAACCATACGAGCTCGTCTGCTACGGGCGTGAATTTTATTTCTTTGGATGACAAAAAACTAAATACCAAGCAAAATAGAGACAAGATATGCAACATTAGGAACCATTTTTGGATTTTGACATTTAGAGATCTTGTTACTGAAATAGCCAACAGCATTTCCTACACAAATAAGATTAAGCGCATATTGGCAAAGGCCATACTTAATGCTTTCCAGCGACTCATAATCCTTGCAATCGCAAAGATCCAATGCGTCTTTTGGACAAAATGCTTCATTCCCTTCCTCCATACCTGGCTCCATGTCTTCTCCGGGGGCCTACGACTTCAGATTGTTTTCACGTGCTCGTTTATTGTGCCTACTGCTCCTCTGCAGCGTCCGCGTCCCATCTCTGGATTTCTACGTTAGCACCGACATCATATTTCTATTGAAACAATTACAAGAAGCAGATAACCTCTCGACTCTGTAGGCCTCCAAAACTTAATAGAAAGAATCTCCAAGTGCTACTGCTTTTGTGCAATGGAACAGCTTTGAATTTTGTTACATTTAGATGGGACTCCATCAAGGATCCAAACTTAGTACCTTTCCATTTCTGGTAATATCACCTTCCTATTTATGGTAATATAGGTGCGAAATGTCACCAAGAGAGAGAATCGAGAATGTCCAAAAAGTAATTATGAGGTAACTTGAACAATAAGAATAAGAGAATGGGAAATATTTGATATGAGTGACAAAAAGTCTTGGAGCACTTTAGAAACTAGGATGGTCGAGGTATATTTCCAACATTGTTATGGAGGCAAGGAGAAAACTAAGATATTTCCATAGAAACGAATTGAAATAGATCGAGATTAACTGCTTATGTTACAAAAGTACCTTTGTCAAGCTTAAGATTCTGCAGAGCAATTTTCTATTTCAACAAATTTTCAATACAACGGCGCCACAAAGTATCACTTCTTAGAGTTTAATCACATGACCAGAAGACCAGGTAGATCAGGTAGATACATCTCTGAATGTACAAAATGAAGTAATTATGCTACAGATTTCTTGAAATATGGCCAATGAAAGATTTGAAGTCTGCTTGTTGTTATTTCAGACATGATGTATAGACAAGCACAACTTTGAACATGACCTGGACATCATTATATAAATATAAACATAAATAGGCAACTACAGCCACCCCTCATCACCATCTTCTTCTAGCATTACCCTACAACCGTTTCGATTTGTACCCGCAAGCCCCAACAGACACTTAAGGTCACTTGCTAAACAAATAGGAACTGGATATAACTTTATAATTTTTTTGAACTAAAGCAGAGTTACAATGGTTTGATAGAAGACGGTTTTATAGAATTCTCCTGTGAACATAAAATACAAATTGTAGCATATTTACCTGATTTTTTTCATTTAAAGAAATTTGTGATGATCTCTCGGGCTACATGTTTGAAATCCAAATGTTCTGAAAAAGGGTTTTTAGTACGTCTTCGCTTTGTCACTGAAAATAGAAAAAAAGGACAGTGTAATAGAGAATGAAAACAAAAAGTTTGCAAAAAAGTGAATGTGTTATAACAGAGAATCTTGGGATAGGCTGTGTTATAGCAGGATCCCAGGGTCTGGGAAAAAGGAAGAAGGGCCCGTTATAAACTGTGATTTTGTACTGCTCGAGACAGAAGAACGTACCAACAAGCATGTTCAAATAATGGCTAGTAAATTCAAAATTGACATCCTATATCGTTAAAGAGTTATAAAAGGGTGTTTTTCCTGTAAAACACACTTCTACCATATTTCCTCTAAAGAAGGTCGCAGTGTTTATTTCAAAATCCAACTTGTGGATGTGGCGTTTAATAGATGGCGGCGTAAATCAGAGGTTCGGCCTAGATTCACTGGCAAACTACTTCATTTTTGCATCAAAGAAAATTATACTGCATTTTGATATTTTTCTCATTGTGATTCTATACGCTCGCTTTATGTTACATCTTTGCGGTGCGGCACCAAATATATCATACAAATAACAGGCCTTTAAAAGGCAAACAAGGATTAACCTCAAGGAACATTCTAGGTTTGTGTGGACATCAAAAAGACAGTTAGATCGTCATCCCGTAGCTTTTTTTTCAACGCTAAACAGTCCTTGGGGTTTGATGTGAGGCATTTGCCCTTGCTTACAAGTTGAAGTCATAGATTTTTGCATCTCACTATCTACAGAACAATGTCAAAAACCAACCTTAGATTCATATCTTCTATTCAATTTAGTTTGTACTACGTTTTGAACATTTGGATATTTTTACAGATTTGACCTGAATTTGCTGCTGCAACAGTTAAACTTTTTTACTTTAGCAGCAAAACCCATGGAAATATACAGGAAAAGCTAAATTTTGAAAACGGCGTAATTTGCGTCCTGAATTTCTTGATAGCAAGATATTTTCCGCACAGACTGATTCAACATGAAGTTTCCGATTCTTTGATTCATTTTTTGGCAAAGTTACGATAAAATATTAACAACGATAACTGGGAAATATGGATAGCTGTGAACAAATATGACAGAACTACCCTTTTAGCAAAGAAAACAAAAGGGTCAGCTAGGCTTAGCTTGGCCTAGGTTCTTTCCAACAAATAGTTGTTCGTATGCAAATGTTGAAATTATTCTTGATTCTAGTGTAAATAATGCAAAAATGTTTGTTATTTTTAAGTGTTGCTGTAGCTGTATCACAAGATTCTAAAATTATTTTGTATGATCACTCGTAATCATTGTTTAACTTCGTATGATCACGCGAATGTTTTTGAACCTGTTTCTCTTCATCGAAGCGCTAGCTTGTCATCTTCATAATTATAATCATCATCATTTATTATACACCAATATGCTAGTTTCTCGTCAATTACACGCAATTGTAATGGCAGAAGGATATTGATTAGTAATGGCACAAATAATTAAAGAAATTGATTAAAGAAAGCGCTCTCTTCTCTAAAAATCTGGATAAAGCTTATTTTTCAGTTTATGCAGTTTATGCATGCTGGGCCGTTTAATTGAATTGTTAGCCATTATTAGTTATTTAGATTGTCAGCCATCGTTAGTTCGCGAGGAAAGCAGGCCAAAATCTGACTCTTTTATCAGTTTGAAAAAAGATAACGATGAGCCTTTTGTGTTTGCTTCTGTAGACCTGTGTTTCTGTGGATAAGGGCTTGGCCCGTTCGACAACCTTAGAAGAGGAGATAAGGAGGCAGGGTCGGACCAGATCACAAACCAGTGCGGTCTGAACCATGGAAGCCCAGGTTGAGCCATGGTTTTGTCTAGCACTTTGATGCATTGAAAGCAAAAGTTTTGATCAATGAAAATGGTAAAACAAATGAATTTTGTTTGAAATGATGCTTGCATTGCAAAAAATATAAAAAGAGTCTGTCCGTTTTAGACCACGGCATTATGAATTTGTTCAGGAAGAATTCAAAATGATTGAAATATCTTAGACAGTACTGCACAACAGCCGTTGCGCCAAGCAGTCTAAAGCTAAAACTAGCCTTCAAATAGCGTCTTCTCTATAAAATATTCTTGAAACATTGCCACAAATGTGCTTTGACCAGTACGAGCAACGTTTACTAGACGAGGTTCTAAAAATATGAACAAAAAATTTAGTCTACCAGCCAGACTCAAGCATTAAATCCATATAGGCGATGAATCACTCTTTAAATACATCGATATGAAATGTTGAGGCATCTGCTAAATATTTTGCAGGACGTCGTCTTTTTTCTGTTGTTAGCTTGAGTACTTAACTAGGTTATTGACTTGCTTTAAAAGGAGAAGGCGAGACTTTCAGCTGAAGCTTAAACGAGGTTCAAACAGCATTACTTATCAGGAACATGCTATGACACTTGAGTAACTTGATCAACATTCTCAAACATAACAAGGCTCATCAATGAAGCTAACAAGACTAGGTTTTGTTTACTCCTGTCGGCTCACACGTGCAATAAATGATTCATATAATGTCATTGAAGAATTTAACGAAACTGTTTGGTCTCTTCAGGTGCTCTAAAGTGGCTACTAATTGCATCAAAAGACGTCAGCTTCTTTTTAAGTTAATGAAATGAAAAAACTAATTGTAAGAAAATTTAAAATCGATGGAGCTACCGCTCTTTGCTTTGGTTGAACATTCAAAAGATATAGAACACAGGTGCAGAGAATTAAAGAGCACTTTAAATGCTTCTCTTTGCACGAAATGAGCAAAGCATTGCGTTTGTTGTCATGCTATGCAAAACAAACGTCGTTAAGAATTCTTCTAGCGAGCACTTTAATTTATTTACAAGAGGATTTGCTGCGTTGAGCTACGGAGAAATGTAAACAATTAAAAGTTTGAATAGCTTGATTACGATAAGAAAATTAGAATCGTTCGTGCGGTAGCTTCTTCTAGGAAACTCGTTGCTCATTGCAGTCAAACATAGTGAACCCTGTCTCTCAGAGATTGCTGTGGAAGACTGTGCTTCGCATCGTTTTCGACAAAGACACTGCTTAAATAGACTGCGTCAACAGGTCTATAAGCAAGAAAACATCTTTTTGTAAGTATGAGCCGGTTCATAAGGCAACATGAAGAAATCAATTTACACCAACCGGTTTTTAACTGTTTCAAAATTTTAGTGACGTAGTGAATTGTATCTGTATAGGGTGAGTATCCAGGAAAACGACGCCTTCCACAATGGTTGAGTTTGAATCAAGTTCGATTTTTAACTTAGCTGACACGAATATGGCATTGAACTATTTTGGACCTTCTCTTACTGCTGACTAAATGATGTTTGCAAAAAGAAACAATTACTTGCTTGCATTCCAGACTCTCTGAAGATGGACAAGGGATGAATCGCTTCAAAAATAAATTGCAATCGACTAGGATATCAAGCAATGTTAGAACTAGACAAAGTTACAACAATTTTGCACCAGCAGTTTGTTTAACGAATAGTACTTTGTTAGGCAAAGAGTATTGAAAGATCAGTTCGGTTATTGTGGTCTGAGAATGCAGCTATTTTCTATATCTTAAGCAATTTTTGTACTAAACAAATCGATTAAAATCAATTGATGATAGCTTGTGATATTTGATCTCTTCAAAATTTATACTTTTAGTAAAAAGAAGACAAAGAAAAGTTCAGAAGAAACTAAGATGACAAACAGAGTGTGTATTTTTGTCTTCTTATAATTTGACGAATTTTCTTGCAGAATAGATTTTCTGATTATAGCAAGAACATTTGTAACAAATTATGTTGGTGAACTTTGTTGCTAAATTGATATGTGTGTTGGGTAGGAGATATTTGTGGCAGATAAGAAAAAATAAAGAAACAGATGCAGCATGTTTAAAATGTTACAAAAAGTTACTACGGAGAAAACAAAGATAGAGCGAAGAATTGCATTTGAAAAAGCTTTCTTTGAATTATTAACATACATCTGTTTGATAAAGCTACGTTAAGTTGGAAGTAAAATGCTTGAATCTTCGTTTCTTTACATTCTGCTAGAAACCCGAATTTGGGTCCACAGGCGTGTTTCTTGCAACATGCTTGAGGTGAAAGGGATCAAAACTGAAAACATGTTTAGTCTAATTGCACAAGAGGCTAACTATACGAAAGTGATCAAAAATTCACTAATCCTTGTTATGTTTGCGGGACCTCCTGCACCCTACGTTAATGAGCATTGTTCGGGGCACCTGTTCGCCTATAAATCTCTTGCAAACTGCAATGGATTATAGTCCCTTTCATTGAATTTTAAAGACCGCTTCATTATGGCTTGCTTTTGAAGTGTTTGTGACTTTGGAGCGAAATTTGAAAACGTGGCTGAAAATGCCGTGCTTGCGTCGCTGGACACAGGTTGTACACGGAATTTAAGTAGCCTAATCTCAATGACTATTAAGAGAATGAGGGCGGTTGCAAATGAATCAGTGGACATCCAGTTGTTAGAATTAGACTTAGACAAGACACCATACACTGTCACTAAATCATATCAATCTTCGTTTTATAAGAGGGTGACATTCAAAATGCTGGACAAGGAGAAACGAAGGAGACTGACGAATTGCGGAGTGTATTTCGCCGTGTTGATGCTTGGCGTCCTCATTGGCCTGATTCCCTTTCTTATCCAATATGTCAAAGAGACACAGGGTAAGTGCCGTAAGTAAATACTTTCTCATCTAAATCATCTCAGAAGCGCCAAGGTAACTTCAATTGGTCAGAGACTTCTGTGAAACAACCTTCGACGTAAAGGTTTTCTGAACAAATGAAGAATTTTATATATGCCGTTGCCTCTGACTTTCTGACTTTGCGAGCATAAAATCAAGTTGAAATTCCATGAAAATGATTAACTGAAGTGATGAATAATTGTAAAACCAGTAAGTTATGATTTTTCCATACTGCATCTTTTATCCATTTGTTGAGCGTTAACACCATTTTCTGTCAATCTACAAGACGCAATTGAGGTAGACTTCAACATGTTTGAAAATGAAATCTTATGGCATGTACAAAAGAGATTTGATCCCATTCAAGGATATATTGCCTGAAAATCTCTAGTGAATTATCATAGATTCTGTACCCTGTTACTTTAAAACTTAAGAAAGAGAATTGAGGGCATAACGGCAAAGGAACAAATAAATAACATCTTATTAGTGCTCTTTTCAAGCTTGAGACTGTCTTATACAAGTGTTATGACATGTAGAGTAGGAAAACAACGTCGTAAGAATAAAATTTCCCTTGCAGCGGACAGAGAGGTCCTCAGACAATTCGTTCACCAAAACATCACGGAAGCATGGAGGGAATTAGCAGAGCTGCAGAAGAAAGTGAGCGAGTATACAAAAGGTAGGGCTGTTAAGTTATGTTTGTTGCACCGTTGTTGGCTTAAAAACCAAGTGGTTAGAATCTAGTACTTCAATTAGAAGGATTAAATCTAATTTGATTGCTTCTTTTTCAACCAGGAGAAAACAGGTGAGGCTGATTGTAGTGAGGGAAGGAATTTACTACCTCACCTCGTGACACTGACAAGTATCCTTGCAAAAATGGACTTCTTCTGTCTGCCAGTCGTATTTGGTAGTTAGGCAAAAAATCTTAAATTTGAATAAATGCGAACTATTCAAAATATGTAGATTTTGTTGCAAATACTGACTGAAGTAGCCCAGCTAAGTAAATAAGTGAAAATTTTGAGCTTCCTAAAACAGCCTATTTTCAGCAGCTAAGTTTACCTTATATATGATATACTATGAATTCTTTGTAGAGAAGAAGCCATCAGCCTTTGCGATAACATCAAGAACAACCAGAACGGTTGTACGTAGAAGAGGTAAGTTTCAATAAACCTTTCATTTTTTTGCTACTTATATAAAATTAACTGCAAAGCAAATGCAATTGTGCAATTTTACTTGTCAATTCTTTGAGGATGTTTGCATAGGATAAACGACAGAAACACCGAGCATGCTTCATGATGGGCTTAATCAGCATTTCAGCTCATCTTAATAGGTCGTTACTGTTCAAAATCTGCTGCATAAAAGGGTTTTCGTTTTTAAAGTTAACGATATATATTAAAGTTTATAGTGAAAGAAAGGAATCCCAACCATTTGTTTAGTCCTTCCTTAAAAGGGCTGGGTCGCGCCTAGGGCTGCGGGACAATGTTGTTGCGTTGCTTTCTGGTGGATAGGGCGAATCCACCACAGCAACTAGTATGACAGAAACTCGCAGCGCATCGAGAAGATTTTAACGGCCTTTGTTACTGAAAAAATGATTTTGTCATTGCCAAAGCCTTAAAAAATTACTTCCTACGTATTTTTAAACATCATTCCTTTGATCATTCCACGAAAAACGGAGCCGATTGTACTGCAGCGGGAACAGAAGTAGTGAACGCCATTTCGGGCTGTTTGGCCGATGGGACAGATACATTTTTCTATAGAGATCCAGGTTTACGAACAGTAAACATTACTGAAAGCCAATGATTTAAGAATGATCCAGACTCAGAAGCATTGCTGCAAGCATAAGATTTCACAGTCTGCCATTTTGTCAGACACTCTGTTTTGACAATTGGCAAACAGAATCCCTCTTATATGGAGACTGTCCCGCATAAAATGCTTGTTTACAGTTACGAGACTCAGCCCCTTTGAGACAAGGTTTCAATTCAAACAAAATAGCATTTTGTAGAATAATCAAATGATAATTTTTCAGCATCCAGTGTTGGCAATGCTAGCATCACTCTTCAGTGCAAAGGAATGATGAAAATCGAGAAAGTCTCTTTAAATAATGTTACTCCATTTCCGGATACAATCAGAAAATTCGACAAATATTGCAAAGAACATGAAGTGATTGATAAAAACATGAAGAAGTGCACTGTCAGCATGCAGCTCGTTCTCAAAATCAAACTGGACACGTTCGAATTCACAGAAGTCGAATATTCGTGCGAGGAAACCGTTAAAAAGTGACGTCATATATTGAACAAATGAAGTTGGTTGGCTTGGAAATTTGCCTACCATTTTATCTGATTGTATGTACTTTTTAGCCTAGGATATGATGGTAAATGCAAATGCTTGTTTTTAACTTAATTGTAGACAATTTCATTTTCTTGTAGATAATTTCAGATATAGAATAATCTTACCATTAATTTTAGAGCACAGCATGTGAGATTTTTTTTGCTTTTAAAGTTTTGGAAAATTGGAAGTTATGGTATCATGTCGATCAGAATTTGACAATCGTGTGCCAAAAACTTTGAGTTCTTGTCCAAATGAGATCAAATCGTCTTCTAATATCGAAACAATTTTCACAATTTTTTGGCGGTACAAGATTTGAAAATGGCTTAAAAGGTTTTTTTTGGCGGTATAGAACTTGAAAATGGCTTTAAAAAAGCAAAAATCTTACAACATACTGGCTAAAACCTTTTTCTACTGACACTCCTCAGAGCATAAAACGTCAGAAATAAGGTTTTCATTTTTCAAAACCGTTTTGAAGCTATGATGTTCGGTAATAAATACTTCTGCTCAGCATGAAACGACGATAGTCAACTCTGTTCAATCTCTTAGGTGTTAACGCTAAATAGTTGTAGACATTTTGTCCATTTAACCTAAATAAGGCTGATGTTGATGGTAATTGCATCTGCATCTAACAAATAATTTTATTGCAGGCTGCCCTTTCCTCTAAATTGCTTCTAGCTTATACAATGACATAAGTTGCTTTACTCATACAAATGATTGTGTACAATCAAAAGTGTTAGGAGGCAAACAAAATACTTGTGTTTAATCGTATTTTTAGTTACAAACATTTAATGTTTAAGCATGTGCAAAACCATAAGGAAATAATAGATAAAAATTATAATTTACAAGGGAAACCTGTCATACATATGAGACATTCATCAATCTATTTCTTATTCTATTCTTTGTTACGTTAACAAGGTCATCAATTCCGCGTCCCCAGTCAATTTGCCGCATATTGCTCTCCTTCTTTTGTTCATCGACAATAATGCAATGCGAGTTTTCCAGTTCACTCAAACACGATGCTACTCCAAGACCAGATTCATTGAACTTATCAAACATGAATTTTTTCAGTTTTTTCGGTGTGTATGTCCTAGTTTCATTGAGGTATGACCCATTTTGCTGTGAAGATTCTCCAAATACTGAAGAGCTTGCTGGCGTGGATGTTCGAGGGCCAGCTTTATCAGAAGCATCTGCACAAGGTTCTCTGTTATTGCTAGACATTTGTAAATAATCTTCTGTTTTATTGCCTACTTTGTTTCCATCCGCTTCAAGGGGCGAAAATGTTTCAATGCCCCCCTCAATAAACGACCCTTCCAACCACTCATGACTGTCGTTATCTTGGCGCTCCTCAAATCCGCTCCAGTTTTCCTTTTCATCAAAAACCGCACCTTGGACAGTATCAATTGTTTCCAGTCTGTTGGTTTCACCTGGACAAGCCAAGGCCAAAATGGATTCTGGGTCTTTAATGTTGTTTAGTGATCTCTGAGCGGCAACGTCTGGGGTCTTGGTTGGCTCGTTACCAGCTTTCTTTGCGTTTGGTTTTGTAAACATGCATTTAACTCGATGTGGTATCCAACCCGCAATGTACTTTATGATCTGAGCACTAAAAGCAAAAGACATTATATAATATAATATGAGGTTAGTAGAAAAAAAATATAGAAAATATAGCAAATATGGGGATATGGGGATTCTAAAGCAAAATGATTTGAAAACTGAATCCAAGGAAGAATATGGCTGGCGTTTTCAAAGAAAGAGTACGGGAAATATGGCACAAAATTTCTATTATATTATATCTTTTGCAATTTCAAATTTAATTCAAGTTGCTTGTTATTTTTAATAAATTCATTTCTATTTATTGGAAGAAGAACGTCTCCTCCCCCTAGCTCATGACAGGGTTAATGTTTTAGTTCTTCAAGATTCTATGAGAAACGATTCATGTGATTCTATGATTCAATACTATTTTTACGTATTCAAATGTTCGTCATTGCCATTTCTTGTTTGTAAACGGGAGTTCTATTACGGTTTAAGGGGCTTGGCTTAAAAATTGTCATTCTCTCCCCTCCACGGCTTAGTGGCTGGCACCGCCATTAATAGACAGTTCATCAAAGAGGCCAGTTGCTGCGGGGTTGCTATGCTGTTGACCAAATTAACCGTAAAAAGGAATAAGATGGACTTGAAACTCAATACATGTGTACAAAATCTTACAGTTTGGCAAGTTGAGCAACCAAAAGTCTTGTGACGTGTGAGCTGCAAGCGTTGAAAACTGGTTTGAGGTAGACGAACACGACAAAAATTGCCAAATTCAGAACCAACGACATCACACTGAACTCCGATTGTGCCAATTCTGTGAAAATCAAATTTGAAATTGAGATTTGATCAGCAATTGGTTGTGTTTTGCACGAGAACTAGAATCAAGAAGGCTTTATGCATAAGTCAGGATATCTAAAGTAGTCAAAAAATTCGAGAGATTTTCCACCGGTTGAACCTCCATTCAAACACAAGATTGAAATCAAGAGCACTTTATAGGTTTTAAAATTGTGCACGGGGCCCCCTAAATCGAAAAATTTTAGGCGGGCCCATGGGTAAATGCGTCACTGAACAGGGCAAGGTAATATTGAAATAAAGTCTTTTTCATAAATAACAAAACAGTGTTATTATATTGGAAGACTTCCTAAATAGCTTGAATAAGGGAAAAAGGTTTTGGTGTCTCTGCAAAAATAGAACATAGAATGAATTCAGAGAAAAGAGAACATTTAGGATACTTGTAACAATTTGTGGAGATATAAAATTAATGTTTTCAGGTCTTTTATAAAAAGCTCGACTAGCTATAAAAGAAGTTTGATAGTTCTAAGTTGCCACCTCGAGTTTCACGCTTAATTCAAGATAATTGCCTGACGATCTTATTAAGCGAGAAACTCAGAGTTGCAGCTAAGAAGGGCCTTTTTCTATTCACCAAAATAATGTGTTACATTGCATTTTATCATCTCCACTGGTAACCCCCCTTTTTAGTTTTGCCTCTAGGCCTAAATAAATATCGTACGGAATCCGGTCCCATCTTTAGATATTTCGGTTGCCTAGTCAAAAGAATAGGTATATCACCATAGGATAACTTCTTTGATAGGTTGTAATGGATTTAAGATCCCAAAGACAAGAAATCAACTTTGGTGTTAACATTATAAATGAAAGCAAACTGATACTTACTCGCAACTTTTAAGCAAGCATGTATTGTCAACTGCTTTATAAAGGCAAGCCACTCTTTAACATCTGATGGCCACTTAACAGATTGATCAGAGCTTTCGGCCAAGTCCACAAACATCAATTTGTTTTCCTTTCCAAAGTTTAAGCCAAGAAGATCGTTTAATGCAACCACCTCTTTTGTTAGCTCGTTAAAGCCTTCATCTTCAACTTTATCCAAATCTTCAACACCATTATCTAAGAGGGAAAGCCAAACAAAATTATCAGATTAAGACGCTTGAAAAGATATAGGACTTATCAGAAAGTATGAAGTACTATTAAGAGTAGGATAGGAAAGGTTGTTTATTATAACAAACATTTTTGCCTATGTACATTGGAAACTTTGTAAAATCTATGGTGCCTAACTTCTACTTATAAAAGATAAAACGGCGAATAAAATACCTCTTGTTAAGTAATAAACTTTATTCTGAACTATCTAATCAAGGCATTATTCTCAATACTCACCCGAAATGATTGTGTTTTCCAAGTCAACTGCGGCATCCAACTTTTTATTCTCATGAACCCTCCATGCAAACGGCACCGACAGAATCAACGGAAAGAAACTTAAGCACAGACGAACCTGACCAAAAGTTACCATTTTCAAACAAATTCAACAAAACAAAAACAAAAACAACTTCAAAACAAAGACAAAACCAACGGACCTAACCAAAACAACGTAACCTGAAAAAATCTGCACCAAACAAAGTGAGAAAGAAGGGGAATTCGGTAAATATATCGTCAGAATACAGAATTCGAAACATGTTCGAAACGTCGCGAACTGTCAACGGACGAGCGAAGTCGAATTTCTTTATTTTCCAATACATAACTAAGACCCCGTTTACACTGTCCCGGGACAATTTTGTACCGTTACGGTTCGCAAGTGTTTACACTGTCGCGGTTCCAAATTGTTTCGTTTAGCCGTTCCGTTTACACTGTACCGGTACAGTGTAATGGCTTCAAAATTTAATGGCAGAAGCTTTTATTTTGCCGCCGAAGTCAACAATCGAATTTTTATTGAGAGTTAAAATGGAGTGGAAGGCCGATAAAAACTTTACTTGGACGAACGACAAGGTGGCTTTAATTTTCAGTGTTATTTTAGCAGGGGTGGCGCTAGAGACAAACCTTCAAGGTGCCGAAGTTTATATTCTCCGTAACTGCCGACGCTGAATGTGTCAAATTGCCGACAGGCAGGGCCGTCGCGAGGCAAGCCTCGTTTGGGGTAGGGTGTGTAATGCAAATTTACCTGATTAAAAAATTATTGCCTGAAACTTTTTAGCTGGTGTCACAAACCTCTGCAATCCATTTTGTCAATCTAACTCTGTATGATAATAACCGACTTTCCTAATAGTCTTGTCAAATCTCTATATCGGGACGGGCAAAATATATAGTTACTACCTGAGGCGGCACCATGGTTGCCGCCGAAGGGACAGGAAATTTTCGAATTGTGATGCTTCTAGTTTCCTGGAAAATGCACTCTTTTAAGCAGATTTCACTAAAGCAATCCTCCTAATCCTATTGAAAATTATTGTCTTTTTGCAAAACTTTTTTACAGCAGTTAAAAACAACAACTTTGCCGTGGTCTTGAAAAATACCAGGTTGTCAGTTACTTCTAAATTTAGATCCCTTTTTCCATCTTAGCATGCCTTTTGAATGTTAAGGAAAATATGGAGCTCATAGTGAATTGCAGTTGACGCTTCTACTGAGAAACTTTAGGAGAAATGGACACGAGGCACAATTTTACCTAAGACACTGAATATTTCTTCCTATCTATGGTGGAAGAAGTTAATCGATGGTTTTCTCTAAACCATTTGTTTGTCGCAAGCTATGCGGTGAACAATGCTATTGAAAAATAGTTGATGAAAAAGGACAAGAAATGCTTTTTGAAAAATTTATTACGCAAAATGTGCTCATGATCGAAATGTTTTCATTGGCAATAATAATGTCTTAAACGAAAAGAGAATCCCTAAAATTCATTAAAGACTTTATTTATGACAGCGTGATTTTGCTGTTGTTAGGGTAAATTTCCTCGAAACAGTCCAAAACATGATCTAAATCAAGCATCTCTGCACGATTCGCATGAATTCCAAGCAGCAACAGGGATTTCAACTGAGAGGGGCACCATGGTATTGTGGGTCATGCGAGGGAGCACCATGAAATTAAGTCACAGCTTTCACGGAAGCGACAGGATATAATGCCACTATGATAATAAAATTGCCGAAGAAAAGCCATTGAGAAAACCATAAACCAGCCAGTGCAGTTTTCTCCTCGATTATTTATGTCATTCAAAAACATGTAAACCGGGTGACATCCATCAAGTGCCGACGGTATTGAGAAAGCAAAAATTGATTGGCTGCCGACGGGGGGGCTAACAAAAATCTAGGGGGGGGCTAAAGCCCCACCTTGCCCCCCCCCATGCCGCCACTCCTGTATTTTAGACTACAAAACTGCAAAGTCTAATCAAGGCTTGGACTGGGAAAAACTACAAGCCTTTTTTGTGGTCGTCTTTTCTTCAGAATTTCCTTTTCTTCAGAATTTGACAACGTAGTTACGCCACAATCAAAGCCTCGATTACCTGAAACAGCCATACAAAAGACCTCTTTGTGAATCCGTGACAAAATCGTCTCGGATAGGTGTTTACACTGTCCCGTTCAAAAACGGAACCGTGACGGTACAAAATTCGTTCGCTTTCAAAGCAGGGTCCAAACTGTTCCGGATAGCAGAGCAAAATCGTCACGGTTCCACAGTGCTAGTGTAAACGGAAGGGCGAACCGCGACAGTTTTGTCACGGTTCCAAACTTGCACGGGACAGTGTAAACGGGGTCTAATTTTGTACGGGCATAGTAACACTAAAGAAAAATAAATAAAATTTAATAAAAATGGTGGATTTTCAAGAAAAAGAGCGAAATATCTCACTCAAATGCTTGCTCCTGGACAAACATTGATAATGTAATTAGCAAGATGATGTAAAATCACATTTTTGTTAGCAAAAATTATCATGTAAGCAACAATAAACTTCAAAAGGCAAATATCAAATTTCTATTTTCGATTTGTCAAGCGTATCTTTGGACCTTTCTATTAAAAAGCTACATAGAGTACAAATAGGCAAATTTTAAAATTTTGGGCAGTTTAAAATTGAGCTGTGAAAAGATTTTTGAGGTGAGAAAAGTATTTTTGATGCAGCTGGAATGGAACATGAACAAGTTTCTTTATTCCGTTTGTTCACAGTAAAATAAGGAAAATTTTGCCATTGGTAGATTTTAAACATAGAATATGAATCCCAATCAGGAAAATTATGCAGAGTTTGCCAAATTTTATGAAAAGTTTTCTCATACTGGTAAAGCAAAAAAGATGAAAAACAATTTTACAAATAATGCAGATAGGTACACTTGCGTGACAAAAGTACACGATGAATGAGTAAAGGATGATGAATAACAAAATGGCGGCTCCAAAACTAGCATTCTAACATTGATTGAACAATGTCAGCAAAAATGCAAATCCTAGCAAATTCAATTTATTTCTTTCCTTTCTAAGATAGAAAAGTAGCAAAATATCAGGGAGAAATGGAAAATATCAATGTTTTAGTTTCAACGCCGAAAAAACAAAAATGACCAGAAAGAGAACGAAAAGTAATAAAATATTTGGGTCTAGCGAGTCATTTGTTTGCTGAAACTGCAAGAAAGTTTGCTTGCAGCAACATGTTATTTACAAGAACAATAAGTTAACAATGCCGACTAAAATTAAAAGAATGGTAGGCCAGGGTAGGCCGACTATTGGTTGGACCTAATGGCATTTGCAAGCTGGCGTTGTGTACGAAGACATTCAATGCTGAATATTTTGCCCAATTATTTGTGGAAAGTCCCCAGGCAAGTACAGAAACAACTAATGATTCTTTGCAAATACCATTTATTTTTAAGCAGTACAATAAACCTAGTTATGCTGCATTTCTGACAAAAATTTTCAAAAATAATTACATCATGGTCTTTCAATAACCCCGTCAAAGTCAAAGCCTTGATGTAATTGAAAACAATAGGCTTTTTTAAAAATAATCCAAGAAATAAAATGTTCTAAGACCAAAAATAAACTCATTTAGAATTTTCTTGAGATTTCCTACTGTGTCCGAAGATATTTCGTTGCAAAATTAATTCAGCGAGTTCCAGTGCAAATGGCGGCTGCCAGATTCTTGAAGTTCATCCGACAAAAGATAAGATAAAGCAAATTGTACTTGTCTAAAAAAGTCTATTTTTACAATTTATCAAATATGTCTTTATTTTTACAATTGGGTAAAATTGCAATTGAAAATCTCAACCAGCAATCTCGTTATGTTCCACCGATTTTCTATGTTGTTCTTTGAGCAAAGGGTTAACCACATTTGCTTTGAGGCGATCGTCCTAATACGTTTGTCACGTAAGTGTACACTGGAGTATCAAAAGTATTGCACCACTTCGAAGGAGGATGAATGGCACATAAATGATCGGATGCTTTGTTGTGAAAACCAATTGCGTTTTTAAGTGATGAATCGAAGTGAGTCAACAATAAACAATCATCTATAAAAATTTCATTTTTTTTAAAGCACTTTTTATTAAAATTTTACAGTTTCAATTTGTACCACTATCAGTCTTTGTGAAATGGTTGGATAAATAACAAACATTTCACAACATGAAATTTGAAATTTTTTCGTCTGACACTCCTCAGAGCACAAAACTTCAGAATAGGGTCCTTCAAAAGTCCAGAAAAGAAGAAAATGTTATACCCTATTGGGGATCGAAATAGACGATTCAGGAAAACATAAACACATGACCGGCATATTTGTCCAATCATTGCTGCGTGCCTATAGGAAAATTACCACTGGGGTCTATAGGACAATAGCCCCTCTGTCACATTTGACTACTCTCTGGTGCTTTATCATCAAGACATTCTGATGATAATCCTAATCTCTCTGAGCAAGTCCTAATCACTTAAACAATAATATTTTACGACTCATATCCTAACAACTTTGTGTCGCTCGTTGTCTCTTGAATCCATGTAGTCATAATAGATTTATGCATGATTTTCTTAATTGGACAAATACCTAGTGACTTTAGTGAGAAAGCATTCGATACTTAGCGAATCTAAGAAGGAAGGTAAAACTGCGGTAGAAGAATGAAAGAACATGCTGGCAGGTGGGAAGAAGACTTGAAAATCAACCGCACACGAGCACAAAGTTTGCTTGTGTATTGACTCAGCTGCCACCAAGGTGTCAGATTCAATGAAATGATGCCAGAAGAAATAATTTTGCTCAAGGGCAATCGATTGAATTTGATTTCTCTTTTCCATTTTTCCTGGATTAACAACAGAGAAGTCAAGTTTGAATCGATTTGTAAGTCAGTTTATATTAACGTATTTCTGTTTCCATTGCATTTGCAGACCAAATCTGTGTAGTCATCGATGAAGTACACTGATTGTATAAAAATGAATGCAAATTATTTAAAACAAACAAATATAGACAAGTCGGAGCGTTTTGCGTTTTTGAGGGAAGCCTAAGTCAGAGGTGGAGTTGGAAGGAATGGTGACGTTACATTACAAGTTAAAGCGGAACATCCCAATGAAGAAACCTATTGCCTTGAATTTTGATAGAAGGATAAACTATATCTTGTATCGTGTACCTTAACTGTATTTTGAAAATGTTTACACTGTCTGTAGAAAACTGGGGAAATTAAGCATATGAGAGTCAATATGAGGAAATTAAGAATCAACTTATTATCTATAGGATCAGCAATGGGATTTTAAATCATTCCGAAAATCTCAATTATAAATTGATTATAACTTATGAAATTTTAATTTGTCAACTTTGTCCTTCTAATGAAGATTTAATTGATGTTTTCATGCTGCTTGTGGTTTTTTTTGTAAAAACGGCTGATATTCTTAAGGCACCTTGAAATATCAACAGATTGGCCCAATATTTGTCTTTATGTTGACTGTCCCCTGGGACCACTTCCCCATAATTAATGAAGAATTTCTGGCGGTATCTAGAGTCTTGAAACCCAAAAATTTTTGGCGCAAATGGTAGTTTTTGTAAAAAATATTCTTTGAAAATCACGTCAATAAATTATGGCATTTGATTTCTTTAGCAGAGAAAACCTTCCGCTATGGCAGCCTCCTCAAAAGTCTGCTTCGCATTGCTGATAGTTTTCTTTTCATGTGCTTTGTTTGGTGCCATATTTGCAAATGAGCACGAAATTAAAGTTGGAAGGAGGATGAAAATTTGTGGCTTGGAAATTTACCATGCTTTTGTCGCTTGCTGTGAATCTGGGTGCAACAGGCACAGAAAAAGAAGACATATCCAAGGTTGGTTTCTTTGTCTATACTTTTAAATACCATAAATAAGAATGAAAAGCTGATAAAGATTGAGATTCATAGTCGCCTTTAAATCACCAGTATTGCAATCAAACATTGCATTACATTAATAGGTCCAATTTCTCTCATCTAGGCAAGGATCACGTTTTCTACGATTAATGTGTCACCTACGATTAACTTAAATGTATGAAATAAAGTAGCCCTTACATGAAAAATTTCGACCAAAGAAAGAAAGAAAACAGCATGAAGATACAAATATTGTTTTTAAAGTTATTACCGTAAGAGGATAATCTTAAATTGCCCTGCAAGGAGAATTCTGAAAAGTAGAAAGAGTCACAATGGAAAGTAGTAATTTAGCTACCAAAATTTCGACAAAACACGGCAAAAAAGAAATTATTAAGTGAACAATTCAAAAAAGGAAATGAAGGAAAGTATTGCGGTGTGCTGAAAGACTTTCGATCAAAGGCGGTTTCACATATAAAGTTTGTCGACATTTATTGATTGGGAATATTCACCATAATTCACGAGTGAAACTAAGATGCATCTATGATTTAACTGCTATATAACCAGTACATTTATTCCGAAAAAATATGCCTGATCAAAAAGTTGAAATTACTTTATATTCTTTAAAAGAATAAGGAGACACTGTTCCAACAACTTTGCTTCGGAACGTCGCTCAAGAAGGCATGCGTCTTTTAAGAAGGAGTACATTTGCTTATCCCATTGTTAAAAACTTAACTTCTTCAATATCCTTGTCAACTGTTTTACAAGAATTTATTGATATTGAGAATAGAAGTTTTTTCTAAAAATATGAAGAAACTAATCAAAATTTCAAGACAAAAAATGCAATTTTGGAAAAAAAATTCTTCTATACGCAACCTAAAACTTTATATTTTCTTGCAGAAATCAATGAAGAAAAGCAGATACCATTTTTAAAAAAACAAGATGCAATGATGTTTCTGTTGACGACTTCCAGACAGAAAAGACATTTGCGAACCTGGTACAGCAATGCCAACGAGGAATGCTGCAACGAAACTTGCACATTCGAAGAACTTGCTGAATACAGATGCCACTAGTAGTCACGTGACAATGTTATTTCATCACTAGGCAGATTCTTTAGTCGATTTCACCATTCTTAATTAGAATGGAAAGAGTGCCATATATTTTTCAAATGCCCCCAACTGCATGGTGATAATAACGGCGATTTTCTCTGAAATATTTGTACATTTGAAGTCACAAAGCTAATGATAGTATGATTTATAGCAACTTGGAAAACATTTAGCTAAGTAACTTAGAGTCATAGACAAGAAAAGTAAAAAGCCAGGAAGATTTGAGAAAAAAGACTTTGCGTTAATCCCGACAGTACTCTCTAAGTTCCTCTAAGACACATCCTTCATAGCAACATTCTTGAGTTGGAGTAGTAACTACTTCTTCAACAACATTAGGTCTTTTGCCCGATCTTCTCCTCCTTCTTAGGCCATTATGGATGAACGAAGTTGCTTTTGTACGTGGGAGTACATGCCCAGCGCTGTTCTTATGATCTAGGAGAGAAGAAAATTTATCATCACATTACAGTTATTAAGTTTGAAAATGAGCTTTTAAAGTCAACATTGTTATCTTCTATGATATGTTTTTATCTGAAAGTAAATGTAGACCTGTACTCAATTTTAATTGATGTGCAGTCAATAATTCCAAAAGAGTCTAATAAAAAACGAAGATGTGAATTCTATTGAATCCAGACAACAAAAAACGGTGAAAAATACAATCTAAAATTCAGCTCTTTCTAAATTTTCCAAAAGTTAAACAGGCTTCAAATATGAGCTGCTTAATATCTATTCTAATTTATGAAACAAATAAGTTAAAAGAAAATGTGGCTAGGTTAATGATGAAACTTTAAACACTGACGATAGAAAAAATATCATTTTTCTAATCAAGAAATAAAGAGCGACCATTTATGAAGCAAGTTTCTGTTGGGTGTCATTAAAATCTTCCATGAAAGTTAAGTTTTTAATGTCTTTATATAGCCTACTATTTAGAGTGCAAAGGAAAGGCGGTGTCTCTAGCCTTTCTATCTGGAAGTAGAGCATTATATTGTGTCAATATTTGTGCAATCAAAAGTTTCTGAACAAAGACCTTCTTGGCTGTATCGCTTGCACAAGTTCAATGAATGTTAGGTCCACTTAAAATGTTTGATCAGCTTCAGGGAGCTCGTCTGTAATTTATATTCAAAATTTCCTTCATTGAAATTTCGTGTCATTCAATTTTTATGAGCTAATTTACTGTTTGGCTAAAGGGCGTGGTAGCAAAAACATTTTTCATAATACTTCCACTGGTTGGTCAACAGTAGTTCTTCATGAAATTACAATGAGATGTGATGTTACTATTTTCTTTGATTTAGTCAACATTACTCGCCATCCAGTTCTCTTTAATCTAAATTGATTTTATTACAAGATTTTGTTCTGTTTTACAGGGTTTTCAACATGAACCCCTTTGCAGTGATAAAATTGGCTTTGCAAAGTATTTATAAAGATGTAGATGATCAAATATACAAATGATATCAACCAGAAAATAATGAGAACCCATCAAGAGAGTAGTTTGACAGTGTTCTGGTGATCGATTTTTGCGTTACGTTCAGAGTTGCTACTTATAATCGTCCATAGCCTTTTGCAGGAAAAATAGCTGCGAAGGCATGGAGGACAATCGCCTATTGTTTAAAACAGTTGAGAATAGCTGGGGCTAGAGAGGCAATTTTCCCAGGAATAGTTACTAGGTTTAAAAAAATACCCTTGAATTGTCCTGTTTTACGCACCAAAGCGTCATAAGATAAATAGATAAACAAAAGAAAAGTCAGATAATTTATGTAAAAAGTGGCAGGAGAAGCCAGCACTGAATATTTTGTTCGTTTACTTTTTTTACTTCGTTTACTTCATCAGGAGTGGAACAAGGCAGAGCAGAGAAAAACCCGAGACAAACTTTTGCAAATATACACAAGACTTTCAATAACCTAAACAATTTCGATACTGTACTGCTTACAATCTTCATCCAAAAGTTGGTTGTCATTTCAAGCCATTCAAGAAATTTACATTTAACTAAATTCAAGACTTATAAACATTAGCGAAGAAGTAGCATGAATTTCTTTGATCAATCTTACAGTCAAAGGAAAGTTGAAAAGGAAATAAGAAAGCTACATTTTATTTTAAGGAATACTTTGAATTAATTTTTGGAGTGCTTTGAAACCTAACCTTGTGGTTAGATTGATGATTTTATCAAGAAAGTGCTTTTTGGAACATTAAAATAGAAAAGTAGTACATTTATAAACTATTTACCTTGATAATTTTTGCCGCTTAATACCTTGCATTTCTCTTGGTTAGCACAGCAATAATCAATGGCGCTTTCAATTTCTCCAAGAGCACAAATTTTTATCAATTTTGCATTCAAGCAGGGAACTGTTGCAATATATATCACGCAAAGAAGCAAAGCGAAGTTAAAGTACTGCATTTCTGTTGTCCGAAGATTGTCTAAGTTTCTCTTTCATCCAATACACAATATCTTGAAATCCTATCTCAAATAATTCAATAAGATCGGTACATCTGGTAGATCGTTGTACTAAAACTCAAATCAGAAATACTGTAGTCGTCAATTTATGCATAAGGGTATTCCAGGGGGTATCATCTGCATTGTTTGAAAATCCTGGCGAGTTTACGAGAATGGATTTTACTTGAGGAAACATCTTTCTAAACTTGGAATTTTGAGAATGTTTCAGAAAATATAGAGTATAGTAAAATGCCTTCTATTTTAAGTATAAAATTGGCTTTTTCACTAATTCCATTTCAGTATATCTCACCCTGAAAGAAAAGTGCAATTTATGTGCATATAATTGGTTGTTTCACTGCCTGTGCAAACAGACCATCTGCAAGCTGCTACATCGTCTTTTTTGGTTGAGGGCTTTGGTGGGATGACGAAACGAAAGGTGATCTTTGTTGACGTGATTTCAGTCAGCTCTGAATGAATGAATGAATGAATGAATGAATGAATGAATGAATGAATGAATGAATGAATGAAGAATGAATGAATGAATGAATGAATGAATGAATGAATGAATGAATGAATGAATGAATGAATGAATGAATGAATGAATGAATGAATGAATGAATGAATGAATGAATGAATGAATGAATGAATGATAATTGAATGATTGAATGAATGGATGATTGAATGAATGAATGAATGAATGAATGAATGAATGAATGAATGAATGAATGAATGAATGAATGAATGAATGATTGAATGAATGAATGAATGAATGAATGAATGAATGAATGAATAAATGAATGAATGAATGAATGAATGAATGAATGAATGAATGAATGAATGAATGAACGGATGAACGAATGAACGAATGAATGAATAAATGAATGAATCATTGAATTAATGAATTAATTAATGAACGAACGAACGAACGAACGAACGAATGAATGAATGAATGAATGAATGAATGAATGAATGAATGAATGAATGAATGAATGAATGAATGAATGAATGAATGAATGAATGAATGAATGAATGAATGAATGAATGAATGAAATGAATGAATGAATGAAGGAATGAATGAATGAATGAATGAATGAATGAATGAATGAATGAATGAATGAATGAATGAATGAATGAATGAATGAATGAATGAATGAATGAATGAATGAATGAATGAATGAATGAGCTTTGGAAAAAATAAAGAAATTAGCTGAAACGGAAAAAAATTACAATATATTTTCAAGTATACTGATGACTTTTGTTTTCTCGTTATTACAGCATTCAAAGGGAAGATCGACGTCAGAAATAAAATCAAGACTATTTTTCGACTTTTCAAAGTTTTTTTTCATTTACAGTATTTCATAATAAGCATTAGCATACTTTGCTAGCAGAGTAATTATATACATTGTCTTTTATCAATTAGAAATTCTTAAATATTGCTAAATACAAGTACATTTCTGAATTTGTTAAGTTCAGTGGCTATTAGCAAGGGTATTCTCTCACTTCTTCTAGTGTGCACATCTCATGGCAACATTCTTCGTGCGGGTTTTCCCAAGCGTACTGTGATCTCTTTCCTCTGCTCCTTGCCCTCCTGTTCAAAAACGAGGTTGCCTCTTGCTTCTTCATTGCATCATCTTGCTTTTTCATTTTATTTGCTTGAATAGTTATTCCATTTCCACTTTTAGTTTGAACTGAAAATATTATTGACTTGGGGTTTGTGTTCGAATTTTCGATAGGTTCAACAACTGTAAAATGGGCAGAAAGTGTAGCGAGATATGTTATGGGTCTTAACATCATGGGGTAGTTGTAACAACTTGAAATAGGCTGAATATTCAATGTCATCAAAAATAACATCAATATAGAGATGATTAAAGAAAGTCAAACATGCATAACAGAACTCATTCATTCATTCATTCATTCATTCATTCATTCATTCATTCATTCATTCATTCATTCATTCATTCATTCATTCATTCATTCATTCATTCATTCATTCATTCATTCATTCATTCATTCATTCATTCATTCATTCATTCATTCATTCATTCATTCATTCATTCATTCATTCATTCATTCATTCATTCATTCATTCATTCATTCATTCATTCATTCATTCATTCATTCATTCAATCATTTTCTTGCAAAATTAGCTGAACAACTATGCATTCTTTTGTCAAAATTGATATTCCTCTATTTTTTCCGGCCTTCTCATTAAAGCAGGCACATGGCAGTCGCTACCCAGATCTTTATAAAAAGATTGAAGAAATTTTTATTCGAATTTCAAGAATTATAGTAAGGTCATGGGCCACTTTGGTTTTGAATGGTAGAAAACTGGATCATCCTGATATGCAAAAGAGAATTATAATTTTGATATACTAAAGGTGATCCACTGAAGATCCTTAGTCGATTTGTCCATTTCACACCTCATACGATTCTTTTTCGGTACTACTTACTACTCTGGTACCAGACGCACGGAATTGTCTCTGCGTGCCCCCATTCCCTGTCTTGATTCCAATGTACGAATAATGAATATGATACTCAATGAATTTACTTTCAGCTTCTAAAAAGATCTAAAGCTTTAAAATCAAATAAAATGAAGAAAATTGTTTCAACGTACCGGGCAAAGACCTTTTGAAATATTTCCCTCTGCATGCAGCGTCATCATAGCAACAATGCCAAAATTGGTAGATGAATTCAACTCCACAGAGTCTTCTGGCATGACTTGGTTTTATCTCAGCTTGTGTGGAAAATTTATGATTAAATAAAAAACATATGACAACACTGCCAATAAATAAGTATGGTTTAACCATTTCTGTGTACTTTTAGAAGTCCGGTTCGAAACACCAAGCGTTTTGGAATACCATGTACCACTCGAGTCTTTTGCTAAAACAGCTCTTCTGTTTTAGCAAAATTATAAGCAGTATTATTTATAAATTATAAGCACGTTTCCTCTTCAATCAGCATTGTCATCTGAACAATGTAATTTCTTGAGTGCTAAAACCCTTCAGGGTACAACTGTTCCTCAAGGTCCTTTCACGCCTTCAGTGGCACATATGATGCTCTCTTGCAGTTATTCACCTTCGCTCATCATCACCTTCGCTTATAAAGGTTGACTGTTTGCTACCTGCTTAAAGAAACCATTTTATTGTGTAGTGTACAAACAGAAGAAAATTAAAGGCTGGCGTTAAAAATACCATAATTTAAGGTAAAGAAACGTTGTTGTTTTTTAATAACACTCTTCTTTTAAAAGTCAAGCATATTTGCTATGATTTGAAAGCTACAAACGTTTGATTGATGTTTGATATCAATCAGAAGTGCCGCGATTGAAAATGCTATTGCAACTTCCGATTCCCATTCTTAATTCTATTCCCACGTGGCACTTGCGGAGGTTGATGTGTCAATGCTAATCCCAAGAAGCCCTTTTGCAATTAAAATACGTGCAAATATAATCAATTTTCATTTTAGTCATTTATCTGTTGACTAACAAAAGTTGCTAATTAAAGCAAATCACACCAAGGTGCTAAATTTTCACTGAAATAATTTTAGAAGTCAATTAATATCTGCTTGGTCATTCATTTTCAAATAGAATATAAAAAATCTCACGATTTGTAATGCAAAAATAGACATAATGAATTTCAGCGAAGATCAGCGATGAATGACCAAGAAACCATTTTGAGCTTTCATCATCGTTTGGTGATATCTTAACAAAAAGAAACAACTATTTTAAAGCTAGCTTATTGAGCCAGGATTTCTCACCATTTAAGCTGTTTACTGAAGTGATTGAAAAGCAACCAAGTTTTGCCTTTCATCTAATCAAAAACGTTTTATGGAGGAGAACGAAAAAAGTTATAACACAAATATTATTGAGCATATAAGTTTCAAATTGAACTAAGAAAAGTCACACAGTTATTTGAAACCATACAATTTTGAAAAAAATTAATGAAATTTTTCAGTGAGAATAAGTAAAGTATATATTCTTATCTATTTTACTTAAAAAATTAAAACTTCACCACTGAGAAAACTTCATTGCAAAAAAGATTTGGACGGACTTCAAAATTTGCGAGAATGACTCGTTGTTATCTAAAATTTTTTGCTCACTAGAATCTAATCGCTTTTATCAAAAGCAATTTCTGTTCATTATGTATAAAAATTTGGAATGAATGGAAAAATCGTTAAAATATTAAAAAAATTGTCGTGGAAATTTTTTCAACACTCTTATCTATCAATTCTTTTTTCATAGTCTTATATCTTTTTCTGACAACTGTGCTGGTTTCATGCTTTTAATAAAGTCAATTCATTTTGATTATAAAGCTGTCAAATTTTCAAAGTTCACTTGTGAAAGGAGTTCAAAACCCTTCTACAAAAAAAGAACGAAAGAAATGCAATTTCGCCTGAAATATGTGTTGTACAATTCTTAGAATAGCAAGTTGACACCTGACTTCAACATGGAGACATAAGTACAGCTTGTGGGTGTACTATTGGCAGAAAATTCCTAAAATAGGTAGTGGGACCTGCCCACGAAAAAGCTGAACAAATGAAAAGACATTAAATTCTAATTTAATATTCAGCAAAAGTGCTTTCTTTTCTAGTTTGTTTGTCTCTGTCAGCGATCGTTGATTTTAAAAGTCGATGAAAACGTTAGCAACATACAAAGTAGCATTTGGTTCATTAAAACAAATATTATCAAAAAAAATAATGTGAGAATTTGTCAAATCGCTGACATGATCACCTAGCACAAATTGACGTGTAGTTGATTGAATGATCAAGTAATAGATTGGTTACAATTCAAGCGATTCTTTCAGGAATAACCGCTTAAACAATTCCGTTTTATTTTTGCACGAAACTCTTGACAAAAAAATTTTACGTTTGGTTTTAAAAACTTTCCGTCCTTGGACTTGGCATATTTGCTTTTCAGAGATTACCATAAGAAAAAGAGCTGATTCAACCTATCATCATCAGAAATCATTAAATCACAGGCCTTTTTGCAAGAAAACGGTGCCATTTCTTGCCAGTTTGGTTCAACTGTTGTGCCATTCCATTCATTCTCGTATCAGAGAAAGAAGAACAGGAATTACTAAGGAAAAAAGCTATAAAGCTTCTAGGTAGTAACAAACAAAGTAATGTGGAAAATTAATCAAGGAATGTTAATGAAAATGAAAAATAAGAAAATACGTTTTATGTTTTTTTATTTCCAAACCATGCCGATCACTGCGAAAACACGACAAGTGAGTTGTGATGATAGGAGTACCTGTAAAAATTGCAATAAAGAATGTTTTTCTCAGCACAAAGTTTTAAAATTTTATTAAGGTGGGCTCAGAGATCTACTTTCTGGTTGGGTGCCCAAGATTGGTAGTTTTCTTGGCTGATATTAAAGAAACTGTTAAAAGTCTTGAGTGCACGTTTTTTTGTACTGCAA